GCAATAATCCCTTTAAAAATAGTAAAACATAAAAGCAAGTTGTGACTAAATGGGTAATGTCATCAGACTGGTGTTGTGAGCTAAAAAGAATGCAGGATCCCTCCTAACTTTGAGGACACTGATGCCCCTGGGTTAGGTGGTTCTTTACTACAAGGTGACAAGCTGACAAACCATGCTCACTAAATGCCTTTCGTTTTGTTAAGACAACTGATCTTATATTGACAAGTGACATAATCCAACCATTCATTGTCAATCTGCTTCACAGAAAGTATTTTCATTCCCATTTTATTTTCCAAGAAATGTTGCATTGACTACCTCGATTCTGCAATATGATGGCTATTGCAGCATTCCTATTTATAAGACTCATTCAGTTTTAGCAGTAGCTTTATAGCATATAGCATTTCTCTGGAGATAATTACCCTCCTCCATCCCCAGCTCCTCTAGTCAGGACTCAGGCCTTCTGATCCTCTTCGAACAATTTAATTTGTGGATTGAACATTTCGCCACAGTTCAATATATATATATATATATATATATATATATATATGAAGAGTTCAGATGCAAAAGCCTCTAAATGCCATTTGAAATTTTCTTCTTTAATGATGATTTTTATCAAACTTGTATATTTAAGTTCAGTAATTTCGCTTAAATAACAATTAATAGGTAATTATCATTGCCATTTAAGTGAAATTACTGAACTTAAATATACAAGTTTGATAAAAATCATCATTAAAGAAGAAAATTTCAAATGGCATTTAGAGGCTTTTGCATCTAAACTCTTCATATATTGAAAAAATATAGGACTGGGCAAAAAAAATCGATTTATCGATTAATGGGTTTTTTTTAAATGTGGTCGATTCAAAATCGTTTCTCAGCGGCCACGAAACGATTTTTTTTCATATTCAGGGCTCGCGGTGCTGCGTGTTCTCTCTCTGCACAAGGCAAGCGTCTAGCGCTGCAGGTGTTGATACACACTCGTGTTTAGGAGTGGGGACATGGCGGAATATTCACTTGCACAATCGAGCCAGCATTGGATCGTAACTAACGTTTATCATTTTCATGTCTGTTTAAGTCTTACCAGTTTAAACATTCAAGCAATTTTAAACTATCCCGAGTTTTAAAATAAAAACAGTTTTATATACAGGTTTGTGGCTGATAATTTCTTTGGACATAAGTTTACAAGAGGTTAATTAATACACTGTTCTTTTTATAAATATGGATTTGTATTACATCTATATTCATTATAGTCGAACCGCAAATCGAAAATCGAAATCAAATTGAGAGCTTGTGAATCGAAATCGAATTGAATTTGAACATCTGAATATACCCAGCGATATATATGTGTGTATATATATACACATATATACATACATACATATATGTATATATATATATATATATATATATATACATATATATATATATACACACATATATGTTTATATACATACATATATGTATGTATATATACATATATGTATATATATATATACATACATACATACATACATGTGTGTATATATACATACATATGTATGTATATGTATATATATATATATATATATATTTGTGTATATATACATACATATGTATGTATGTGTGTATATACACTCACCGGCCACTTTATTAGGTACACCTGTCCAACTGCTCGTTAACACTTAATTTCTAAGCAGCCAATCACATGGCGGCAACTCAGTGCATTTAGGCATGTAGACATGGTCAAGACAATCTCCTGCAGTTCAAACCGAGCATCAGTATGGGGAAGAAAGGTGATTTGAGTGACTTTGAACGTGGCATGATTGTTGGTGCCAGAAGGGCTGGTCTGAGTATTTCAGAAACTGCTAATCTACTGGGATTTTCACGCACAACCATCTCTAGGGTTTACAGAGAATGGTCCGAAAAAGAAAAAACATCCAGTGAGCGGCAGTTCTGTGGGCGGAAATGCCTTGTTGATGCCAGAGGTCAGAGGAGAATGGCCAGACTGGTTCGAGCTGATAGAAGGGCAACAGTGACTCAAATAACCACCCGTTACAACCAAGGTGGGCAGAAGAGCATCTCTGAACGCACAGTACGTCGAACTTTGAGGCAGATGGGCTACAGCAGCAGAAGACCACACCGGGTGCCACTCCTTTCAGCTAAGAACAGGAAACTGAGGCTACAATTTGCACAAGCTCATCGAAATTGGACAATAGAAGATTGGAAAAACATTGCCTGGTCTGATGAGTCTCGATTTCTGCTGCGACATTCGGATGGTAGGGTCAGAATTTGGCGTCTACAACATGAAAGCATGGATCCATCCTGCCTTGTATCAACGGTTCAGGCTGGTGGTGGTGGTGTCATGGTGTGGGGAATATTTTCTTGGCACTCTTTGGGCCCCTTGGTACCAATTGAGCATCGTTGCAACGCCACAGCCTACCTGAGTATTGTTGCTGACCATGTCCATCCCTTTATGACCACAATGTACCCAACTTCTGATGGCTACTTTCAGCAGGATAATGCGCCATGTCATAAAGCTGGAATCATCTCAGACTGGTTTCTTGAACATGACAATGAGTTCGCTGTACTCAAATGGCCTCCACAGTCACCAGATCTCAATCCAATAGAGCATCTTTGGGATGTGGTGGAACGGGAGATTCGCATCATGGATGTGCAGCCGACAAATCTGCGGCAACTGTGTGATGCCATCATGTCAATATGGACCAAACTCCCTGAGGAATGCTTCCAGCACCTTGTTGAATCTATGCCACGAAGAATTGAGGCAGTTCTGAAGGCAAAAGGGGGTCCAACCCGTTACTAGCATGGGGTACCTAATAAAGTGGCCGGTGAGTGTATATATATATATACATACATGTATATACATATATATATATATATATATATATATATATATATATGCATATATACATAAATATATATATATATATATATATATATACACACACACACACACAGTGGCCACTTTTATTAGGTACAACTAGGTACACCCTGCTCAACTGTTTGTGAACGCAAATACCTAATCGTCAATCGCATTTAGGCACGCAAACTGAGCATCGGTATAGGGAAGAAAGATGATTTAAAGGGTTTTACATGGTTTAAAAACACCACATAGACATATAATCAACATTAAAAGCATGATTTATCACAGGGGCCTTTAAGTGGTTATGTATAGTATTCCTTTTAAATCACAAGACACCTTCTCACCAACAGCAAAAGTGTCAAACCTAAGCAAAAAAAATAAAAATAAATAAAATAAAAATAAAGAGGGTTTAAAGAGAATGGACAGAAAAAGAGATATCCAGTAAAGCTGCAGTTCGGTGGGCGAAAATAGCTTTTCGATGCCTGAGGTCAGAAGAGATTGGCCAGACTGGTTTGAGCAGATAGAAGGCAAGGCAAGGCAAGTTTATTTATTTCATACACAATGGCAATTCAAAGTGCTTTACACAGAAGAAATTAGGATAATCAAAAGAAATCAGAATAATTAAAACAGTTTAGAATACAAAATAAGTAATAATGAAAAATAAAAATTATGATAAAAATAAAATACAGTAAATTAAAACTGTAAAAAAATTAAAAATTAAGTGCAGTAACAGTCGGACGAACAGTGGCACAGTGCTCATTCAGTAAATGCACAGCTAAACAGATGTGTTTTGAGTCTGGATTTGAATGTGACTACTGTAGGGAAACAGTAAGGAAACAGTAACTCAAATTACCACTCGTTACAACAGAGGTGTGCCAACGAATATTTTGAAACACATTGAACTATGAAGCAGATGTGCTACATCAGCAGAAGACACACATAAGCCACTCCTGTTTATGGGCTCACAAAAATTGTTCAATAGAATTTGGGAAAACTTTGCCTTGTCTGAGTCTCGATTTCTGCTACGACATTTCGATTTTTTTTGGTCAGAATTTTGTGTTAACAACATAATTTTTATCAACGGTTCAGGCTGCTGGTGTTGTAATTGTGTGGGGGATGTTTTCTTGGCACACTTTGTAACTTAGTAGTAATTGAGCATCGCGTAACCACAAGCTACCGGACTTGTTGCAGACCATGTCCATCTTTTATGACCACAGTGGACCCATCTTCTCATGGCTACTTCCCACATGACAATAAGTTCACTGTACTCTAAGGCCCACCACAGTCACCAGATATTAATCCAATACAGCACCTTTGACATGTGGTGGAATGGGAGATTTGCATCATGGATGTGCAGCCGACATCTGCAGCATCTGTGTGATGCTATCGTGTCAGTATGGACCAAAGTGTCTGAGGAATGCACTTTGTTGAATCTATGCCACGAAGAATTTCTAAATTCAGTTCTGAAGGAAAAAAGGGGTTTAAACCAGTACTACTTTAGCTGGCAAAATCTACAGTATATGTTTGTTTATACATAGGTCATTGGTAAAACTTTAGTTTGGGGTCTAATTCTCACTATTAACTAGTTGCTTATTAGCAAGCATATTACAAGGATATTGGCTGTTTAGTACATATTCAGCATGACCCTATTCTACATCCCTTTATCGTACTCAAAACCTAACTACCTCACTAACTAGTAATAAGCAGTAATTTGGAGTTTGAGGCAAAAGTTGTAGTTAATTATGGTTAATAGTGAGCCCTAATATAAAGTGTGACCAGATCATAACCTATGACCCGCATGCAATAATATAAATCATGTTAATTAGAACACTGTGAATGTTTTCTAAAATTGCAAATGCTTAACAAAGATAACAATACTCATCAAGGACATCTTTCAGAGTTTATCATCTCCAACAGCTAATTTTCATTCCTTCTCCATAGGGCAAGGACCAGTTCATGAATTCTCAAACCAGAGACATGGCCATTTAAAATGTAATCAGGCATTTCCACTACAAAAGAGTCATTGAGCCTTTAATCCAATAATATAAATTGTGCTCTCACATGGACTGAAAGCATAATCATATTAAACATCTTGTGTGATCAAATGTCAATGTGATGACAATCTTGTTTTTTAAACTGGGAGCTCTGCAGACGATTTAAAGCTCAAGTTTCAGCGGTTTAGTCTCCTCTGCCTGCCAGATTCTGTGCATAATTACGTTTGCGACGGTTGCAACAAATCCTAGTTATGGGCCTTCCACTCTTAGCATAAGCCTATTTCCACAAAAACCTGGCACCTTGAGTTAATGGGTTACACAAATATTTGTTAATTACCAAGATCAATATCCTGCCAAATAGTTCAACAAATGCAACAAAGTACCACTTGTTTGCAGCGCACTTCATTGCGCACATATCACATTACAGCGAGGATTATTGCAACACAAGCTCAATGCTGAAACCCGAGGCCTTGACAACAAGTAAAATGACAGTTGCAGCCTTTGGGTAGCACACGAGTCAAAGGCGTGAGGGAGTAAATTTGGACCTTGTGGATTTTGCGAATCGAAAAAATTGATCAGGTCTCTGCGTTGGCTTGTTTGCAGCTGCCAGAATGCATAAAAAAAGTGGAATTTATGAGACATTTCTGATGTAAGTTGTTTTTATTGGAAAAACCATAGGTCCCACCACCACTCATAAGTCAAACATTAGTCCAAGTAAAAAAGCAAATACTATAAATCAAGATGTAAGAAATGGGATTTGGTGTAAAAGCACAGCATGAGTAAACATGAGGAAAAGGTCCTAAAACATCATTAGGACTCAAGCTGAGCCGAGGGAAACTTGAAATATGACATATCACATACAGCTGAATGAGAGTTGCGTGAGATGATTGAGTGGGAAATGAACCTCTTAGAGAGGTGAACTCCTAACACTAAATATTTTAAAATTAACATGATACAACCATGTAAATCTGTCCTTAGAGACTATCAAACTTACAATAAAATAAAAAAAAGATTTAGATGCACAAGTTGCCAAAAGAAAAAGCAAACAGGTGTAGTTATCAGGTTTCTCGCTCAAGTTTTACGGGTGATTCTCAATTGGCAAAACAGCTGATAATACTGTGAACTGCTTGAGTCCACTACTTAATCGGATAACGGCAACAGTTATGCTACTTGTTTAATGCAACAAAGTAACACCCCAGAAGTTTCATGTGTTAATACAGCTAGCTCTCAAGTAGCTTTTCTTTCCCTTTGAGGATCTTCATAAAAGGTCAAAGAAGATATTTCAGGGCCTGCCTTCAAAGTAAACAGTAAAACGACGACAGGATTCCTGCAAGAGCGCATGGTTGTTAGAAAAAAATATGCCCAACTTGACTGTGTACAGCATATGTATCTGCAGCACATTAAAATACTAAAGTAACACAACGGCGTATAATCTTCGCTTTTAAAAAGGTGATTGATTCTTTTCAAAATCAAAGCTTAAAAAAATCTGCAAAAATGTTGGGCTACACAGTGATGAACTCTACTGTTCGTTCATGTCAGTGCAATTGCATTAGATGCAGACTGTGCAGAGTTTCAAAAAAGCAACATAGTTTTATGGTCCAATGACTACATACGCACCATATGTGAAGTCTTTATGAACTGTATGAGGAACAGGCCAAAATGTTAGTAATTCATGGAAAATCTTCTCTTCCAGTGAGCTGTAAACTGCTCCGAGTGTATCGTTGGATCGGCGAATCAAACTAATCACTCCCAGAATTAGATTGAATGCTACATTGAAAAGATCAGATTCAAAATAATGGGTCAATCCGACATCACTAGTTCTCTTATGAACTTGCCTAGGTGAGCTTAAGTGGGGATTTTCATTGAATAATTTTCATTTAAATTTAAACCAAATAATTTAAATTTGATTTTTTTTTAGTCAGACAAAGCTATTGCACAGCTCAGAAGCCATATAATGCTTTTGCATCATTTATAACATTAGGAGGTATATTAAAAAAAATGTTGCAGAGTCATACAGGTTTGAAATCACACAAGGTTAAGCAGAGGTTGACAAGTATAATTTGGGGGGAATTAATCCTTTAAATCAAGGTTAAGTTTTTTTTCTTAATGCTTTATTTTAATGTTATGGTTTAGTCTTTGTGGGGAGAACAAGAAACAGAGCTAAAAGCAGCAGAAAACAAATAAAAAGCAAAGTCTGGCTCTGCATGAGCAAACTGTGCAATCTGTAAGAGCCCAAAGAGAATGCAAGCCATGTTGAAAAATCCCAGAAGCCTTCAAAAACAGGGCTGGCGAAGGGAGGTGACCCTAATTCATAATTAGATTATGTCATAGGATATAATTAAACACTGACACCATTCAGCGTCAAGACTAAAATAACAACAATAATGACATCAACAAACAGCAGCTGAGAATTGGAGGAAATTGGTGATGTCATACAAAGAAGCTTGCTGATCTAAAACCCAACAGCCAAGTAACGGACCACTCAGAGGCCCTGCATTAAAATGGGCTGGCTAATATACCAACATTTTTATCTGTGATTACGAGTAATACTTGCCAGTGGTTAAATCAATACACAAAAGTGACAAAAACTAATCCAGTGACTCAAATATAGACAATCATAAATAAACAATATGGTAAAATACGATTTTTTATTTTGCAGTTTCTTTAAAAAAAAGTACCTAATTTTGTGCTTTTTCAGCGCATGTTGTGAATGCACACCTGGTTTCCTTTTTCAGCCAAACAGCTTTACATAATTAAAGCTGTGGGAAAAGGAAGTATACCACACCTTATATATATATATATATATATATAAAAAACAATCAAACAAAAGCGCAACAAGACATGCATAAACAAGGGCTCAATTTGTGGAGGAAAAACAGGAGTCTCGTTCTTGCGCTTTAAATAGTTATATATAAAAATAGTGTGGTGGTTGATAAACAAGGTTAATCGCTGCTTAATATGCGTTCAATCTCCTCCAGTCTCTTCAAGGCAGCCGCCCTTTTCTTTTCTATATCTTTAATCTCTTTTGTGGATTTGCTGTTAGTCCTCTTGTCAGGCTGGCTTGCATCCAGATTCTTTGATTGGCCGTGGCCCTGGCCGCTGACGCTTTCTGTGGGGGAGGATTTCCTCATATTCTTCTCTTTCCTGGCCCCCTCCCCTGCTCCTGAAGCAACTCCTTGCCCTTCCTCCTCCTCCTCCTTTTTGTCCTGTTGATGTTGCTCTTGCTCTTTTTCGGCCACACTACTGTCCTCTGTCTGCACAATCGGCTGCCCCGCGGCACTCATGGCGGCCATTTTGTTGCGCACAATGGCGAGGTGCCGTCGAATGTACTCTTCGTGTGGGGCCATAGCGAGCGTCTCTACTAGACAGCGTTCGGCACGCTGGAGCTCCCGTTCTTCGAAGTACACCACGCATAGGTTGTGCTTGGCCTGCACGTTGCTGGAGTCCATGTTTAAGATGCGTTCGAAACAGGCCTTTGCACCACGTGTATCCTTGCGGTGGTTCATAAGGATGTCTCCCTTGAGGATCAAGCCTTTGACGTGCTCCGGGTGGTACCGCAACAGCTCCTCAAGAACTGGGAGAGCATCCAATTCACGTTGTGACTGAGAGTAGAGCAGAGCCAAGTTAAACAAAGCACTGCGGAAGCCGGGTTGCAGTCGAATGGCCTCCTGCATCCAGTGCTCGGCCTCTTCATTCTCGTTCGCATCCATCGCCAGCATGCCCAGGTTGAAGTAGCCGTTAGCATCATCCGGCTCCTCTTTCACATAGGTGAGAAAACGACGGTTTGCCTCTGGACGAAATTTTGCCTCACCTAAAAAAGAAGAATATTAAGACATAGAATTGGTGCAAAAGTTACAGATAGATTAAATCCAAAATTAAATCAAACACCGAACACCATACAAGGGATAAATCAGTGTCCTGTCCGAATTATAAAGCTTTCCTTTTTTGTTTGGAGTAATATGCCAAAAAGCCTGACCCTGCTATCTGTGGTATTTTGGCTCTGTTTTTTGACAGGATCTACCTTGTGCACCATCCTATGTTGCAACAATAAGGTCAGAATGAGGGTAAGGAGTGTCGGTCAGCTTCTTATTACCCCATGAAGACGGTTCAAAATAACTATAGGCCAAAAGTGGGGAAACCGTGGAAACCAGGTTTGATTTAAAACAAACCTGCTTTTATTTGAAAACCAATATGGATGGGCATAACTACAAAACCAAATGCAAGAATAACAGTTGTGTCAAGCATGTCTGTGAATTGATCACAACATGCTTCCTCAGTCACATGATTAAACAGTCTGAACAAGAGGCCTAAAACCATCTGCAAATAGAGCCGTTGTATTCGTCCTATTTACATTTCTGCAGCGTAGGTGTGCTAATCTCAGAAAAATGACAAACTAATGCCTCGCTCGAACTGCATGAATCCATCAGTGCTTTTCCTGCTATTCAAAGTTTAGAGTGAAAAAATGGCATAAAATTCAAAGTTAGGGTCAATGAGTCAAATTCAATTTAAACTTATAGCTGTTGGATCAAATGCTAACATTTTCAGGCATGAGAACATGACTGAAGTAGGTGAGAGGTTGCTGCCTTCCCTTGAGGTGGCACGCAAACAATCCATAGGTTAATAACTTGGCTTGTCTAACCTCATGTGAATCAAAAACTGCTTTCACATAGATTATTATTAAGCACCTTAACATTTCTTGTAAGGGACCTAATGTTTTTTAAAGCTCAGGTCTGATAAATAAAAAAATAGGGAATTTTGCAACCTTATTTCTTCAAAACCAAGTGAACTTTCTAAACATCCTGACACAAACGCGGTTTCAAAAGATGGGTCTCATAGCCAAAGATGCATAATCAAATTTAAAGGAATAGCATGTACAGATTCACAATATATAGGCCACCATATCGGTATCGGCCGATATATGTCCAGTTTTAATGTTATCGTCCCAATAAGAAAAGTTTTGTCTTATAGGCTACATAAAACTATAATGAGAACCTTATAATTGTGTGCTTTTAATGATGAGACTTTTGTTTTTGTAATCAGGCTCTCAAAAATTCTAAAAAAATTGATTTAGATTATCAGCTTACAAATATAAATAATGAATATCGGTGCATCCCTAATAGCACGCATATTTTACAGAGAAGGCAAATCAAAGACTTCAGCTCAGTAGAAACGAATAAATCCAGGATGAAACGAGAAAAATATTACTTAAAAAAGCTTTCTTTTGTTCCTAATATTTGTGTGTATGAATTGTTATGCTTTTTTGCATATAGCACAGCTACGGTTTATCAATATGTGAGTCACAAAGTCCTGAAACGTATCAATAAAAATAGCTTTCCAAATTAGTTCCTTTTGATAGTTGGGTGATGGCTAATTTAATTGGTTTAAATGGCTTTTGCACACACACCTGACTCTTGCATGAGAAGTGCGGAGTTGAATAGTGCCAGTTTGTGCCGTGGATTCAGGTCCAAAGCACGATTAAAGTTTCTCAGAGCCTCTGAGGGGTCCTTCATCTCGATATTGACAATAGCCAAATTGTACCAGAGGTCTGCATTGGTATGGTCCAGCTCCAGTGCTCGTAGGTAGGCGTCCTTCGCTTCACTGGGCTTGTTCATTTTCAGAAGAAGCTCCCCTCTGAGTTTTGAAAGAAATAAAGACATTTTTGGAATACCTCTCACTGGACACCTCGGAAATCTAATACACATGTACAACAAGAAAGATCAGTTTCTTTAAGCAATATTTTCTTAGCAAATAGTTTGAGTAATACAAAGGTTTATGTTTAGATTTTTTCTTGGGCTAGCTTTGTTAGTTCGTGAGAACCGAGGCATTCCAGTAAATCCGCTTTCAATAGCTTATCTGATGAACATTTCATTTACAGGATGAGACATGTAGAGAAACTGTGAAGGTTAAGTACATTTTTACTTTATGCTAAATGTAACAAAAACAGCAAACTCCGATTCTCTTTTACTATGGCATCTCTTCAGCTCATATCTATGAGAAATGTTTTCTTAGGGATAACAAAAAAATCCAGGATGGGTGTGAAATTGTAAGACACAGATGCTCAATTCTTTTACAAGATCGTATCTCTTGAACATCGTCCAGTGTACACATGGGCTAAAAAAATTCTCATGAAAGCCAAAATACTGTCTGAACTACAACACATTCAATTTAATTTCATTTCGTCCTGTCAGTAAGTTAGCAAGTTTACAAACACATTTTTGACCCTGTCAGCATGAACGGAGACTTGCCGACTGATGTAGGCTTGCTTGAAGTCCGGTCTCATGCTGATGGCCTGTCTATAGAGTTGGTCGGCTTCTTCCAGGCGAGAGTCATTCGCCCGAATTAGGTTAGCCAGGTTAATGTAGACGTTCAGATGATTGGGGGCCACACGGGTTGCATACTTCTTCCCTGGAATGATCTGCCAATGTGTTTTGGAAAGATCAGCCAAGGTTGTAAGAATTTACATATACATACATTTGACTCAAAGTATAACAATAATATATTCAGTATGTTCCTTCTACATTCCAACATGAAATATAGACCCAAGTGAAGTTAAAGGCCATAAGATTGGTTTCAAGAAAATAGTTTTAGTTTAGTTTTTTAAATAGCCAATATGCTTTAGGTACATCACAGCAATTAACCATAATTTGCTACTTGCTAATCTGCTGCAAATGATATTGAGGGGCATTCTCTTTCCAGAGAGCATCTGATTGGATATATGTGCTGGTCAGGATGAGTCATTAATATGTTCAGTCCATTTTCCTAGCACAAAAACACTGTACATTTTGAATGTGTACAGTGTTCAAAAGTTTGGGGTCAGTAAGTTTTTTTTGTTTTGTTTTTTTTCAGTAAGATTCATAACTTTATTTAGGAATAGGGTAACCAGCAGTGATATTCCCCTAGGCCACGCCCCCTTGTCTCCCCAAAGTATTACAATCGATCATGCGCATCCCGTGTGCAGAATGATGCACTTGAAGCAACACCAAGTCACAGCACGCAACGCTTCACATTGAATAGAACATAACGAAGGGATTATATCTATAATATGCATAGTAGGGCTGGACGATTTGGGGAAAATGTCATATTGCCATTACTGAGGTCAATATTGCAATTGTGATATGCGATTCCGATATAATAAAATGGTTTCATGAGTCCAACTTGCTTGGTTCTAAAGTAAAATGCACACACAGATTAGTGATCATTCTGTGTATTAATGTTTATTTCTCAACTCAAACTAAAAACAACTAAACCATCATTACAGTGAAAGCTATCAACTTTTAAAAAAAATTTATTAGGCTAAAAAAAATTAAAAACTTTTAAATTAAGTGAACTTCAAACAATCCCCACATAAACCCATAAAAAACATATTTACCTGTGCCCTTCCTGTATTAACAGGTAGGATACAGAAATTGAATAAAGTTATCAAACAGTCTGCACTGCATGAATTATAAATTATAGAATAATCCTTATTAAAGCTACAAAAGTTCTTTAGTCAAGATCAGTGAGTAATTTTCTAATTTCCCTTTGTTCTTTTAACTTTACTGACAGAACGCTTTATTCGCTGCTGGCCATTTAAGAGCACCCGTTGCCGAGACGCGGATCTCACATGCGCCTCATAGCACAACTCTTTTCGTCCAACACTTTTCTTATGTTTTGAAGATACTCGACAAAACGACATTTTGGCATAATTGTGTGTGTTATTGTTCGTTCAAGCTTGAAAGAAAACTGTATTATGGCACGCGGTCTGTGCATGCGCATTACAGCGCGCGTCTTTCCGCGAGTCTCATTTTAGGGCATTCACAGGCAGCTTTTCACTTCTTGTAAGAACCGTGAGCAGGAAAATAAGAGCGGGATCGTGTAACACTAGTATGACAAAAAAGAAGAGATGCTGCGTTAATAGCCCTAATTTGTTTATTTAATATAAAATCGCGGCATTTTGCGTTGTATAATTGCATAGGTTTGAGATCGCTATTACGATTGCGATATGATTAATCGTGCAGCACTAATGCTTAGTGTATTCTATATGCAACAGTTTTTTGAGCCTTTTCTTTTAACAGTTTTAAATTTCAGTGCGCATGAAGAACAATAGCACTCTCTCGACTCCATGCTGTAATCTTACACACACCCGGGAGAAGGGAATGTGAAAGGGCAATAAACTCCACTCCAGCAAGATAGTCATTTTATGAAAACCATAGACCTTTATGCTTTATCTACAAATAAAGTATAATAATAGGAATATTGACCTTGAAGAGAGTGTCGTCGTGTCGCAAACGAACGCGACGCGCTGTGCAAATTCTGAATGGAGAATGACTGAGGCGAGATGACTTTCCGTTAACTTTAACTTAGCGACTAAAATTACACATTATGCAATGACTTTAGAAGTCTTGGAATATAGGGTGAAAACTTGATTGTGCTTTACAAAGTTTTTTATGCCTTTAGTGGGGCTTAACAAAATACTATGCAGAATATCGGACGTCACTGAGAAGCTGCAGCCGTGGCGGGAGGATTTTAAGTGTGGCGGCCCGCCACGGGAGAATGAATGTAGAGGAAACACTGAACACAATGTGAATGCCGTTTAAAAATCCATTTGTACAGCAGTCATGTTCTAGCTAGAGCCTATTTTTACCAACTAGCCTCTTATTTAGTTTACATTTATTAGACTGAATTGGTCCTTTAAAGTTAAACACATTGTATCACTCGAACCTGGGCAAATTGAGTGATTAAATTCAGTGTTATTATCCAACGTGATAGCACATAGACTTTCAAACTAAATATAAATCAATTTGACATAGTATAATAGTAGTAAATTTATGTTTCAACAAAAATATTTCGCAGCACAGATGTTTTCAACATTGATAAAATCTAGGAGTACATGGGCATATAGATGAATGCAAATACAAATAGACTAAAAGCCACAAACCATTAGTTATTCAGCATTTTTTGCCTTCTATTTGTAGAAAAAAGAGAAAAGGTGTGAAAACTACTAATAAACACACAAGGCTACTTAGAAGATTATTATGGTTGGGCGATATATGTCGACAAATAACATGGTCATGTTATTTTATTTTTTTTAATAAACAATTTATACAAATGTATTAGGTTATTTCTGTGCCACTGAGCAGAATTGCTAAAAATATTGAAAGTAAAGTTATTTCATCGTTTACATTAAAGTTTTGTTGACAATCTAAATATAACGAAATCTCTCCTTTTTTTCCTTATATGGGATTTTCATACCTGTGGCATTAGGGATTTTGCGATTAGATATGCCTCCTCTGCCTCTCTGGACCTGTTTAGGTTCTTGTAGGTTCTCCCAACGTTCATGTGGGCCCCAATATCATCTTAGAAGAGGACACAAGTTTAGTGTAAGTCATAAATCAAGAAAATAGTACAGACAAAATGTCAAAGACAGAGAACATGGTGGAATGTGAATTATATGGCTTGAGTGCAACAAATTATAACAGTTACAGGCAGCTGACCAGTTTAATACACATTTGGGACGAGAAATCGGCAGGAAAGACTGGGAGGAAAAGCACCTCTTGTGAAAGCTTCTCCCTTTGCAAGCTTTTATAGCCATGTGGCCCACGTAACCTCGAACAACAGAGAGCTAACCATTAGTGTTGGTAGGTTTCAATGTGTAAAACTGATAATGCTACCAGCATTTTGTGAGAAACGTCTAATTACACCGAAGCGGTACAGAGTTTTTGTTATGAAAAGCAAACTGACGCGTATAGATAGCCTGCGCAGGATTTCCTAGTCCGTTAATGTGCTAAGAGAGTTAATCTTGGAAAAACACATCTTGGGTGGTGGATCTCTGAAGTCATGTTAGCTCAATAAACCAACATAACTTAAACAATTAAAGTCAATAGTTTAATGACTTTGGCTGCCACAGTCGTCTTTCTCACAGGTAGCCTGAAAACGATACAGCAGAGCCAATACAAAACCTAAATCCACATCTTCTCGCATCAAATCCTTAAATCCACATATTCTCAAGACGCTAAAGTGCGAAAGTAGTTTTATAGGCCAATGTTTTCATTCAGTCCCATGAAATACTACATAAACTACTTCTTGTTAGCTTATACACAATTTGAAATTGTCCTTACCAAAGTGCCTCCAAACTTATAATAATAAAGGCAGAATTTCCCACACCTCCCTAAAACAACATATCCGATGGAGAGTTTTGTTTAAAATAGGCTCATTTTATTTTTGAAAGAACTGTTGGAAATATTTTGAATTGCAGTCTTTTTAGTGCTTTGTGTCTGCGGAAAACAATTTGGTGCAAAATCCTTCCCAAAGACAAACTCACTTGAAAGTTACAATGAAAATATAATTGACCATTTACTTTCTTACAGCTCCTCCTCTAAAACGACTTTCTTTTCTGCAGATGTCATTAATTACTCGCCCTCATGTCGTTCTAAATACATTAGACTTACATTCATCCTCATAACACAAATGAAAGATCTTTTTGATGAAATCTGAGTTTTCTGTCCCTCAACAATGATAACAACTGAAACTTTGACACTTCAAAAAGTTCATAAAGAGATCGTAAAACTAATCCACATGAACTGAGTGGTTTAGTCCACAATTTTCTGAAGAGACTCGATCGCTTTATATGATGAACAGATTTAATTTAGTCTTTTATTCACATATAAACATTCGTCAACTCACAGTTAAACAGAAGCTCAATTAAACAATTCAATCTGTTCATGAAGCGATCGAGTCTCTTCAGAAAATTTGTGACTAAACCGCTCAATTCATATAGATTAGTTTTATGATCTCTTTATGAACTTTTTGAAGAGTCAAAGTTTCAGTTGCATAGCGGTCTATAGAGGGACAGAAAGCTCTTAGATTTCATCCAAAAAGATCTTCCTTTTTGTTCTGAATATGAACGAAAGTCTTTCAGGTTTGGAATGACATGAGGGCGAGTAATTTATGAAATAATAAAAAATAAAAAAAAAATCATTGAATATCCTGTTTTACACAGATTTACGTGAATGAAATGATAATGTTTACTTTAAAGAGCAACATGCAGGTTGAATTTATTTCTGAATTATTACTTTAAATTGTCTGTAGAGGTCTTTTAAAAACACATATGTAGAAATTACTAATGAAATCTCATTTGATGTAGAGATTTTGATGAAAATGTGCTAGGCTCTGGAATACGCCTTTCCTGCATAGCAACGTGTCATATGACATAGGCCAAGGCCGAGAAACAAAAGAGATCGCGGTTGTTGGGTGTTGATGTAGTTAGAGCAGCAGTGAGAGACAGAAAGTTTTAGATCGAGTTTTAGAGAAGACATAATGGTAAATTATTGTGTTTGTGCTGGTTGCACGAATTCCATCCTGTCAGGACATTGTGTCCATCACTTTCTTTCTAGGAAAAAGAAGGCTTTTGCGGTCTTGGGTGCGTTTTGTGCAGGTGAAGAGAGCAGACTTCACTGCCGATCGCTTTATATGCGACACAGTCGTTTGTTGCACACATTTCACTTCCTTTAAATTGTATCACTAACTGCAGTTGAAAAGCAAACTGAGCTAAAGCGAGCCGAGCTGTGCCAAGCCGAGTAATACCACGCAGTGGAAACGCGAAGTGAACCGTACCGAGCCGTGCCATCCATGCAGTGGAAAAGCGCCATTAGGGCCAGTTCACATATCGCTTCTTTTGCGCGCTCAAGTTCGTTATTTCAAATGTAGGCGGGCGGTATGCGCGCTCATAATGGAAGCGATGCGGTCGCGGTGCGACGCGTCGTTTTTTCCGCGTCGAGATGAAAACATCTCAACTTTTCAGAATACCGCAAGCACACTATTCGCACACAATAGGTCATGTGACAAGAACCAACTGAAGCGCAACCGCCCTGGCGCTTTGGAAAATGGAGAATGCGGCGCGCCCAGCGTTTTCTACGCATTTTTAGGCGCTATATGTGAATCCGGCCTTAGACTGTTGTTATTGTAGCTTAGGTATTGTCATTATTTATTTGTTGTTATGGCATGGTCATTAGTCAATGTAGATAGTGCTAACCAGCTTGGATGGACTGCATAATGACTGTCAGCATAGAATATGAGAAGACAAAACATTTCTGGCTTAAATTAAGACAATCTAAAAGGATGTTTAATCAAGAACAAAGTTGAACGTATGTTTGCTAAAGCAGATTTATTGCAAAACGTACTAGCCATACAGTAGATGAACCAGCGTTAGCCACGGTGCTAACTTACATGAACTCACCAAGTCACTTGCCCTATTCACCACTGGTTTTCTTGACACCACAACAGGAGTTATTTTATCACAATTTTTCTCAAAATATCGTTAATGGCTAAATATATATTACTCCAGATCAACATACACTATGCTATATAGGGGTGTCCAACCTGCATGTTGCTCTTTAAAGATGCTTAGGTAACCTTAAAATGATTACCTGGTTGAGTCAATTACCTGGCTGCACTCTTGTAGCCTGAAGAAAGTATCTCAATGCTCTCTCATAACTGTTCTGATTCTCCAAAGCATGTCCGACATTGTTCCAGAGTTTGGCGTTGTTTCTGTTCACCTGGAGAAGAACAATTTAAAAATGTTTCAGGCATGCCAGGCTAAGATTACAGATCATATTTTCCTGACATCATTTCATTGTACTCTTGTTAACGTCTGGACTCCTCCTTTGATATAAGGCAGTAAGCTGGATTTATTCAAAGTAATGGTCTCAAAATAATATGTATGAGCCTGTGGCCAGATGTGCATCTCTAAATGAATAATGTGTCCTTGGATGTGTTCATACTTTCAGTGCAGATGTAAAAAGCGTGTATTCGGACTCCCAATCCCAGTTTCTGTTGAAAGTCTTCAAGGCGTGTGTTGTTATAAGAACTCCCAAGAGCAACCAAGACATTTTCTTTAGGCCTCTAGAAAACATCACAAAAACGAGAGAGTTTGTCTCTGAACAAGTCATTCAAAAGGAATAAAGTATAAGGATTTGTTCAGAGGACCTTTACCCTCTTTGGGACAGGAGTTTGAATCCATGGGCCACCAAAACACAAAATCCCATGCTGGGAACATACAGGACCCTTTCGGCAACAACAAAGCCCACAGGGAAAAACAGGTTGGATGCAGGGATGAAAGGAAGGACGATCAGAGACAATGCCTAAAAGAGAGAGAAAGACCAGAGAAATAATACAAATATTTGTATTTAAGGAATAGATCAATTGCGCACAGACATTTCTTGCTTTCAAAGGAAGTGAATTAATAAAAAGTGAAGTTAATAAAAAAGGAAAATAGTACTGTGCCATTTTCCACACTTTCGCAAAAGCACAGCTCATATCATAGAATTAAAAAAAAACAAAATTTGATTAATTGTTTATTGATAATCTTTGAATTGATCATTTGAATTGATAATCATTGAGTTGACCAAATCTTAAACCAGTGCATTAGCAAGGGAGCAAAAGAAGCTATCAGTACTTTATTCAGAAACAAGTCAGGTTTGATGCAAAATAAAACATTTTATTTTGCATTAAGATGTCAAGGTAAAAAAAGTTGACGTCTAAAAGTCTCACTGACATCAGAAGTTTGTACAAGCTTCGATTTTTTTTTTATTTTTTTTATTTAACTAATCAAGACTAATTAAGCCATTAAACGGTCCATATCCCCATACAGGAAAGTGTTCATTGACCATTCAACAATGAAATGGCCTGTTTTTTCCTCTCTCTTTGAAATCTAATGAAAGGAAGTAGAAACGCTAGTTGCTCTGGCATCCAGTCAGAGATTTGTCGGCACAAAAATTACCCAGTAAACTAAGAAATTCCATTAGCAAAAAAAAATCTTGGATTTAAATGTCCTCATTGTTTGGTTCAGACAAGCTTGTGCAGGTCTGAATGCTAATCACTCTGGTTTCATAAAGCTTTGTCTGAAACCAAGTCCATAAGTTTGATTAATCTGGAACTAAACCCAATTATACACGACTGACCTGTAGAACAAGTGCAAGAAATCTACAGAGCTACATAATCACGATGGTCCATTTTCTCTGAATGGTGATAATGTTCAAACAAATATGATTGATTAAGCAAAAATGAGAACATGTAAATGCAGTGCTCCTCAAACATGGTCCTTCTCATCAAAACCACAAGCAAACACGCCTGTCTTGCACAATGCATGCCAATGCATGTAAGATTGGGATTATAGGTTTTATTTACAAAAAGCACCTTATGACAAGGTGATGGATCAGGATTTTTTGAAACACTGAACCGCTGCAAGGGCACAGCCCTTGGACACCCTGTTTTGAACAAACTAATTTTGTTTTGTCTAGCTACGGCTAATCTCCCCCTTTTTATCAGCAGAAGAGTCACTTTTCAAAGCACGCTCAAATTTATTAGTTTTATCGTCAAGTAAACCACGGGGTGTCATGTAGAGAAGCCCTTTTTTTTTTTAAATCGCACCATTCCAAAAAAACAGGGGCGTTTATCTTGCATTGTGTGGTCTTGAAAGTGAATCGCAGAAATTGGTTTTGGCAGCAGCTTCAGAGTACGTCAAGACCCAAACCGTCAGGCGTTGCTTACGTAGGGGTGGATTTAACTGAGCCGAAAGCAGCAATACAGGGAACATCATATTTATCCAATTTGCTTGATGCTTCAGAGGCCAAAATCAATCATGATGAAAGAAGTTTCTGCACAAACAAAAGCTTTGTCTGTGGTTTCCATGAGCTGCGATGCTGTGTGCTGTTTGGTTGCTTTGGAACATGCAAAAGTCGGAAAAAAAAAACTTCACAGTCAAATTAGCCAAACTTTCACAACAAAAGTGTTTCCTGTTTGCTCAGAGTGAGTGTCGATGGTCTGCACACAGGGAATCATTAAAATAACTAACCACGGCCAAATAAAACAGATTCGGACCAATATCCTCATGCAACCTGTTCTCTGTCTCCTAACCACAGCGTCTTTTTGCGCTTTGCCCGCTAATGATTTGTGCGGTCTCGAAGGGTGGCCTCTGCCAACAGAGCGAGGAAGTTCACCAAACTCTGTTGACAGCGCATGGAGTCGCGGATGAAGGATTCTCGCCACTGTTACACAACATACAAGTGGAGAGCTGAACACACACGACAAGGGGATTTCAACTGTGACATTGTGAACTCTTGTGGAATCAGTCAGTGATTGAACATATGTAGACATCAGAGCTGCAGTGCCAGACTATAAGACGATAACATCTTTTATGGCGAATGGAAAAAACACGGCTCTTTTGGGCTGTAAATTGAGAAGAAGAAAATGTTGTGTGAGACTAAACGTTTAAAAACATGAAATAGTTGCAAAAGTTCAGTGAGGGGGAAATCTGTGTATTCAGACAGATGACATTAATCATTCACTGAGAGTTGAGACAGTTTCCAGGATTGGTAAAAAAAAAATGGCCCAGAACGTACTGTACTGTGGGTATGAAACAATATTTAAGTGCAACTTTTAGACTTAAACTCAATAATTAATACCCTGCCCCATAAATGTACCATTTTGGGTTATAATTACCATCTGTTTATAATGAAAGGTTGTGACACATTGCATTTCTAGACAGTAAGTGCCTTGATTAACTTCTATCTAGTTAAAACGGTCATGAGCTACTTTTAGTTTCCACCAAAATGTGCGTAAGCTGAAGCAGCCTGAAAAAATACACCCCTTAAGAGTGATTTGAGCTTAAACAGCAAAAATTATGTTGTCAGATTGTATTACTAAATTAATTTACTCACCAAGCACCAAATGAGAGTAAAAACTGGCTTTGAAAAGAATGTAAATTGAAGTAGTGCACCAGTTGGGTAGAAACTTAAGGAACTGCAATATAATACTTTGTCTAAATGAAATAAGAACAATAGTGCTTATTGTTGAAGTGACACAATCGATTCAAATCTAAACATAACATTTGTACTCGAGTTGAAAAAAATCCATGGGAAGTTTATCTAGGATGCCTAAAGTTTATTTTCACATACATAGAAAAGTCCACAAATTAAGGGACTAAAGTGAAAATATGAGGAACATCCACAATGGATTTTAAACGTTTTGTGTAACACTCTCAAAAATAAAGGTTCTTTAAGATTCAAGAGTATAGAAGCTGTTTTGCCAATTGCCAACATGGAAAATAGCTGTGTGACATTGGTCAGATGGCCTTTGAGTGGAATGACTTGCATGAAAGGGACTTTAAGGGATACCCAGCCAGTTTCCAATAATTTGTAATGTTCGAACCCTGTAATTGGTGTGATGCCATTGACGCAGATACCCCTCACTAGTTTTTTTATATTTTTTATTTTGATCATTGGAATATTATCGTTTTAACTATGATGCCAGTCCATGTGCATGGGTCCTCCAGTATGGATGAAAACACCCCTAAATTGTTTCTGACAGACTGCAAACCACACAATCAAATTTTCCATAAGCCCCACCCACAAACGTACCATCATGACGATCTTGGCAGAACTGTGGCCGTACCAAAGGCTGTGAAAAGCCAGGAAGCTCAGCAGACCATAGAATACCAACGTGGCAAGGTTGCGGGGGTCCAATAGGGACTCCACGAGGGGAATAGTGCCCATTGTCCAGTCACAACACAGCTCAGAGGGGTTGAGCAGCAGCCAGGCGTTCACTGGCAGGAGGTAGTTGAAGGTCAGCTGCCTGGTCGGGGTGGAGCTGACAGCAGCTGGATTATCAAACCTGATGATAGATGGGAAAGATTAATGAGTTACTCCTCTCCATTAAGACATACCGCACCAAGAGACACTATCCATTTGGAAAAGGTTGCAGATAAGAGGAATGCAGATAAGAAAATGCTGTTTTATGTTTCACCAAATCAATTAACTAAAAAAAAAAATGTTCTACTGGCTAAACTTATTTTCAGATGTTTACTGGAGATTAGTGCAACAACCTTTATGTTTCATATTACTAATAAAAAGTCGAAGGCAATATTAATACAATATTTATAACATTGTATGGCATATTTTAAAATATTTTTGATTTTCCCTATCCATATTGGCTGGAGAAGTACTTTAATAATTGTTTATTACTGTGCAAGTTCAAGAGCATGTGCTAGTACTGTGCTTGTGAACCATTAACCAATATCATAAATATAATTTCATGGGTCAAAGTTCAATAGATCACAACGTTGACACATTGTCTAAAGATCTGAACGCCTGAAGAGAACTGAACACAATTTGAATTCTTACATTTTTCAATTCTACACCATTCAATAGAGCTGCTAGCCTGGCTAACGCCAGACCACGTATCATTGAGAATGAAACGTGGTCTGGAAACCACCGTATTTGAGCCGTTGGTTACGAATGCCAAAAGCCGTATTATTGGGTGCTACGAATGTCTATCAAATGTGCCTGTACGTCTATCAAATGCGCCTGTGCTCATCCCCGTTCTGTGATTGGTTCCCTATTTCAGGGGAAAATTTGGTTCATGGTATCCAGACTGCCTAGCAGCGCGAATAAAATTGCGCTGTGGCAAGGCAGCATGGGAAAACCCAGGCTATAGAGCTGCACGATTAATCGCTAAAAGATTGTGATCTCGATTCAGACAGTCACGCGATCTCATCTCTAAATGACAACTAAGTTCATCTATGTCTATGATACGTTTAGCAAGTACGATCTTTATACGAAGATCGTACTTCAAATTTCAAGAACAAAATTTGTGACCCAGCGAGAGTAGCTGTCATATATAGGTATGAAACAGTTTCACAAACAGTCTTATTGGAATCCTTATTTTTGTTACAGTAGTACTGTGATTTTACAGAAGTATTTGGAAAAGTTTCAAGTTTGAATATGAACGCTGTTCTCTATGCGAGCAATCAAATTACCTTTTGAAAGTAGCTTGATGCTTCAAATAAAGTTTGTATCAATTACATCGTTACACCAGTAGGTGGCGAGTCTGGCAACAAGTGACTGTTAGACAATAGGCGTGTTCAACTTGAAGTTGCGCTCCTCAGACCAATCGGTGTATGACATCAAAGTATCGCAAGAGCGATTTGAAAGCATACGAGTCTTCATACACCTTTAAGCAGTGTCGCTTAAAGACGAAACGCACCTAGACTGTGCCCAAAAGCTTGAAAATTTTGTGACTGGTGGTCAGTACACTCTTGTAGAATGTAGTGGATTGAAATATTTTCTTAGTTATCTTAAAAGCTCACTTTATTTGGCTGTATATCAATAAACAATTACGCTGCCACAGAAGTCTGAAATCAGTTTCGTGAGGTACCTTCATGCACAAATGGTGCCTACAGTTTTCAGACACTGCCCAAATGTATGTCATTTAATCACTTATTCAAGTCATTTCATTTCAAAATGCTGATTCATCCAGTAATGAAACTAGTGAAGTCTTTATTAGTGAGTCATTGAATCATTCACTCAAACCGATTTTAAAAAAGAATTCAAATTAATAAAATATTTTAATTTTTATTTAATTTTTTATTTTATTTCTTTTATTTTAAAACCTTCAAATAAAAGGAAGAATTAAAAAATACATTTTTAAAACAAACATGTTAGTTAGACAGCCTTATTTTAAAGGTAAAAATTTTTTTTAAAGTCTTGAAAGTATTGTGTGCAAGATAAATATTTCCAAGCAAATAAAAAAATTCTTTAGCGCATTCATTTAGAGCATTTTTTGTTGAATTCAGCCCATGGCGATTATTCTGCAATGCATCTTGTTTCATATGCATGTAAAACCACAGAGAGATTTAAAAGGGTCCAAGCCACACTGAAAAACAGCCAGACTGAATGATAGGCATTAGACGGCTAAAAAAAAAAAAAAAAAGTTACCAGAACAACGATACTGCCAAGTTGGCAGCACTGATCTGTGGCAACAGGCCATTAACTGTGGTTCAAGACTCTCAAAACAGATTAAATAAATTGTTGATGTTCTTTGAATCCCAAGCATTCAAAGATGGTGGCCTTTACCGCATTAAGCAGCAACACTTTCTGGTTAATGATTGTGAAAACCCTTTAACAGGAAATGAAAGCATCCTGATTGAATTAAAAACAGGTTTCAAATTCTACATTTATTTGGCAGCACATTTATCACACACACATGTATGCATATATATATGAAGAGTTCAGATGCAAAAGCCTCTAAGTGCCATTTGAAATTTTCTTCAAGAATGATCATTTTTATCAAGCTTGTATATTTAAGTTCAGTGATTTCACTTAAATGGCAATGATAATTACCTATTAATTGTTATTTAAGTGAAATTACTGAACTTAAATATACAAGTTTGATAAAAATCATCATTAAAGAAGAAAATTTCAAATGGCATTTAAAAGCTTTTGCATCTGAACTCTTAATATATATATATATGTGTGTGTGTATATATATATATATCAGTATACAATGTCCATGGGATTTGAACCCATGACCTTGCCGTTGTAAGTGCAATGTGCTACCAGCCAAGCTACAGCAAAAAAATAAATAAAATAACACTTAAAGTGCAGAACATTGACATGGGCTTTCAGTCTCCCCTAAAAAACACTTGTTACGTTAATGTTCCTCCTTTTAAGCTCGAAGCTAATATTTTCCAAGGGCAAAATATTTCCGCTGTTTGAAATGGACACAAACCGAAGTTTATCACTTGGCTCTCATAGAAGGGTGTGTTTTGACAGGGAGGTTTGAAGTGTGGGAGAGCCAACAAGTATTAAAATCCAAATAAAATCCTTTGCACAACCCCGTCATAAATCCAATCTCTTGGAAGAAGAATGTTTTTGTTTTGGCTGGGGCATTACAATATTATCACAATATTCCCAAATACAACACAGGGTCAAAATAAACTTCGAAAGTATGTTAATCCAGTGTATTATGTCTCTAGAGAGCTGTGAGATAAGACTAATTCAGACGGTCAGAGACAGTCGATGGATTATGTCTTGGGATTAGCGATCGCTTCCGTGACAGATCCAAAAGGATTTTTAACTCAGATCCCAATCAACTTCCCCGGGGATGATGATCAGAGGACGGAAGTATGTCTAGGCGTTTTACACAGAGCTCTTGGATATAGCGAGATGCTTCTTTTGTTTAAGGGTGGGCAGAGTGATCACTATCTAAGGAGTGATCACTATCTAAGAGTGATTACTATCTATAGGGGTGGTTCCAGATCAGATGATATATAGAACATGTTCAGTTCAGGGCCAGGCTGTTGGTGGATATAAAAGCATCATGATGTCCCTCATCATTTCAAAAGCTTAATATACACTACTAAGAATGATTTCCCCATAATATGATATCATGTTTACATTCATTAGTCACATCGTTCCCTTGCTATTTGATGCTGGTGCTATGTGACAATTTTCCAGGTAGTTTCCAATTGACCACGCTGGATACAATACTGTTGAGAATTGTAGGACTGCATGATTAATTGAAATAAAACCAAAATCGCAATATGGCTTAGTGCGATTATCATATCAAAGGCTGATGGTTTAATAAAATAAATATATGTGCTACATGTTTATTAGGTTGCCAAACACAGAAGATTCCTTCCTAAGGAAGGTCTTAATAGATTCCTCGGGTCATGCAGGGAACATAGATAGCAATTTTGCGATAGTCAGCCAAACTTCCTGTCCTCCATTTTGATTTTCTTTAAAACCCTAGTTTTTCCGAACTTCTCGTAGACATCAGATCATCTTCAGACTGTGCCAACAAAAAATGATAGATTTCGTTTCGATATACAAAACCCTTCGTTTTCGTATACGGTTGAGGCATGATGCCAAAATGACTGAGCCTTAATGCTTTGGCAAATTGACACCAAACTTGGCATTTGTCATTGTCACCCCACTCTGACCCCACAACATCAAGTGGGTCCCAGCACCACCTATTGGTCGCTTCGAAAGTGATGAATCATTAAGCCATTTGCCTAAAATCATCTTAAAATGTCTTGAAACGCTCATTGTTGCAGTTGGTCTGATGCGTATACTTATTTTGTTTGCCCAATAATTGCTGCACTTTCTATTTCTATTCACCAAAGACTCCCGAAAAAAGTAACACGGTTTTCACAAAAATATTAAGCATCACAACTGTTTTTAACATTAATAATACTAAGATTTTTTTCTTTAGCAGCAAATCAGCATATTAGAATGATTTCTGAAGGGTCATGTAATGCTAAAAGTGAAACTGAATTCTCAGCATCATTACTGCAGTCTTCAACGTAAAAATTATATATTACTGAGGTTTCACTGGTCTCACCTGGTGAACACTGGCAACTGGGACTGAATGACCTGCACCCTGACGATGACCAGCAAAAGTGTGCTGATTATCAGGACAATGAGCTTCAGAAGGGTCTGGAGGACAGCATAGGGAAAACCATCTTTTCCTCTCACCACTTGAAGTAGGGTGTCAATCAGCATGGGCAGAGTGAACTATATTTATATTTAAAAAAAAAAAAAGGAGAAAATGACTGACATGATTAAGGAAATAAATAAAAAATACATCAATTTTTTTTACAATTTAATTTCCAAGTATACACAACCATTCAAAAGTTTGGGGTCGGTAAGATTTTATTCATGTTTTGGAAAGTTTTCTGCATTTATTTAATCAAAAATACATTAAATTATTGCAACTTAAAATAACTTTTCTTGGTCAACATGAACATTATTTTTTTTTGGATTCTTTGATGAGTAGAAAGTTTAAAAGAACATTTTATATGAAATGGAAAACTTTAGTTACATTTATAAATGTTTTTTTTTTTTAGTGAAAGTATTAATTTCTTTAAAAACAAACCCAAACTTTGGAATAGTCATGTATATAAAATTGTTTAAAGTATTAAATAAAAAGTTTCAAGTATTATTTTGTAATAATTAAGTAAGAATAAATTAAATACAGTTTGTAATAAATTACAACTAAAATAATGAACGTACATTAAACATACAAGTATTTAATTACAAAATTTTATATTTTCAATTATTTACCTAGTAATAATTATATAACTGTCTATAATTCTTAGGGATTTTTCCATTTTTGTTGACAAAAATGTAGAGAAGACAGGAAACGATGACAAGAATAGATACAATAAATCTGTATTCAAACCCACACCTCCCATTTGACCACAACAGCTTAATCTGTCTGCCAGCAGTTTAACACTAGACCACAGTCCCGACCCAGGTCGTTTCGTTACAGGTCGCTGCAACGAAACTTCCACACGCCACATTGGCTCTGCTCCGGATACATTAGCTCAACATTACATTTAATACATTATGGTTTAAACACTACACGTCTAATGACTTAGGCCGATTAGAGTAATTACTTAAGCTACATGTATTTCAGCAAAACATTAAAGTCAATGGGCTACTTGTGCATATGGGTTGAATTAAAGGCATAGCTGAGGGCTGCGTACGGGGTGAACGGAGCAAAGATTTGTCCAAGGCAAAGAGCCACAGACCTCAAGTTCCTGTCAGAAACAGCTGCTTACATTCATTCAGTTGCTAGCACACATAAGACAGTTATGCCACAGTCCATTACGTAAAAATGTAATTACATAATGGAAGGCTGTCAAAAGAACAAAGACCCCGGCGAACATCTGAACACTAATGGACTGAGTGGTTTTCACTTAATATTCAAATGCAGATGCTAACCGGCTGCTAGCTGCTAACAATAGATATACAATTAAAATGGAACAGTTGAAAAGACTCTGCATCCTAAATGCATGTGACACGCAATGTGTACAGTATCTAACTTGCTTCAGTGCGTCAAAACATTTTTGATTTTTGAAATCCTGTAGCTTGGTTTAAACGGAATAGGCAACAGGGTGTTTTCACATCTGGTAAGACTTGTGGTTAACAAAACTATGAGACTTTGCTGTTTTGTTTCACTGCTATTAGAAATGAGAGATGTTGCCCCGAAGTTATTTATTCAACTGTCACTTACAAAATAGTTGTCTTGAATAACTTTTTCTGGGCAGAAGGTACGGTATGTCGTATCAGATAAAAAACCTGTCCAAGCTGTTGGTTATCACCTCAGTGTTGATTTTCACACTCTTCTTTACAAAAGTCAATGCAGACATGCCCTCTGGGGTTTTAAACGTATTTTTATATTCACACCAAATTAACTAGTGACTGCCGTTGAGCAGTCAACTTGTTGACCAATTTCCACAGCGAGAGATGGACTTAGAGCATGTGTTTGGCACAGGAGATTGCTCCCACTGATACAGGTAACCGTTTTATTTGCTTTGTTTAATTTTTGAATTTGTTTCACCACAACGATATGCAATCGATAGATTTGTTTCAAGGTTTTTTCGGTATTAAACTGTCAAGATAGTGACACCAACAGACAAAAGTGTACAGATATTTCTGTAGTCATCGTGTGAGGCTGCGCCCCATGAGGACGCGTTAAGTCTTTCCATCTGGTTAGCGGTTTCACTCTCCCTCTGTCTTTCTGCCAACAAAATAGGGTTTTTAATATAATTTTAAAAAGAGAAGGATGTTTTATGACTTCCCTTAAAAGCAAAATAGTTTTTTTTTTGTTTTTGTTTTTTTACTTTCTAACAAATAAGCTTTTGATCCTAAGACCCCATAGCAGATCATTTTGGCTTTAACCATGCATGTCACACATCCTTTATTTACGAGATGATAAATAAATGTCAGTCTTACTCCTTGGGCAACAAAGACCTCATAAATACAGCATATCCCAATAACAGTAATTCCCTGCTCCTTGCATAGCGTGGCAACGGCAACCAGGAATACGGTTGAAATGATGGGAGTCCACACTGAAAGAGAAAGTTGAAGACAGAGATGATCCAGGAAAGTCATCTCATATGCGCATACTCATTTTTAACATGACGGATATGCTTTTGAGTAACTTAATACATCTTTCAAACATCATTCAGATGAAAGAAAGTGGAAGAAAGATCAGCAAAGGAAAAGAGCCCGGTGTTGTTCTTCATTTTTGGGGATCTCATCCCACAAGTCTTTTCAAGAGAATCAGAGAAAAGCACTTTACATAAACAGAGATGTCAATTTAACTTGTTAATTTAGCATGATTAATTATCACATTGCGACTTGCCAAACCACTCCCAACATCAAAAGCCGTTCACATGACCTTGTTCTTGTGTTCGAAAACAGATGAATTGAGTGCAAAACAACAGAATAGAACATGGGGATCTAGAGATTGTTTGTAAATATGGTGTCTTAAAAATGCGGCACTCGTGCTGGAAGATGTGATGCAACAGTCAAAGACATGAAGAAACAATATATTCAATTCTAAATTACTTTTATCAATTCAATGTTTTTGTCTGTAATAATATGGTAGGTTAAAGGGTTAGTTCACCCAAAAATGAAAATTAAGTCATTAATTACTCACCCCCATGCTGTACCAACCCCGTAAGACCTTCGTTCGTCTTCGGAACACAAATGAAGATATTTTTGATTAAATTTGAGAGCTGTATAACTACCACATTGGCTCCTAAGGGACTGCCTCTTGACGGCCCAAAAAGTCAATGAAGAAAATGTTTAAATATCCCAAGTGACTACCGTGGCTCAACTATATGTTTATCAAGCGACGCGAATACTTTTTGTGCGAAAAAACAAACAAAAATAACGAGTTTATTCGACTATTTCTTTTCTTCCTTGTAGGCCAGAAACGAGACTTCAAGAGATTTCCACGACGCATGCGCGAGAATTGCGATCTGCTTACACCAGCTTACACTACTTCAGATCGCAATTCTCGCGCATGCGTCATGGAAATCTAAGGAAGTCTCGTTTCTGGCCTACAAGGAATAAAAGAAATAGTCGAATAAACTCGTTATTTTTGTTTGTTTTTTCGCACAAAAAGTATTCGCGTCGCTTGTACAGCTCTCAAATTTAATCAAAAATATCTTCATTTGTGTTCCGAAGACGAACGAAGGTCTTACGGGGTTGGTACAGCATGGGGGTGACTTAATTTTCATTTTTGGGTGAACTAACCCTTTAATATTGATACATATGCAATTGTTTGCAATTAATTCAATTGCATATCATATAATTAATTTTCATTTTTATAATTGATTGACAGTCATAAATCCATATTTATAAAAACAACACAAATACAATCTTAATATAAATGTTAATATAAAAATAAATATATAGTTCAGAAGCAGCAGCAGTGGTGGCCTAGTGCCAACTGAGACATTAATGATGCGGATTATAGGTCATATTATGACCTATAATATGTAAAGAACATTGGCTTAGTATACAATACAACACTTGCATGCACTATTCAATCAGGATATTTCTTTTAAAATAAATGCTACGGCTTATTTAAGATGAAAATGAAATTAAATAATCGCTTGTCATCACACCTTGGACAAGGTAAAAACTAGAATATTGTGATGGGATTAACATTCTTGTTAAAAAAAAGATCAAGGATAACAGTGGGAGGTTGACAGTATAATATAATAATTGTTGTGTTGTACAAGTCAGAAAAAACATGCCAATTTGATCGATCTGTGAAACTGGAGCTGTGTACTCAAGGATTCTGGGTGGGGAACTCGGCGAGCTTTAGAATGGGAGGCGAGTCACAGCTTGCGCGTCATGTCCTTGAAATGAACTTGTTGAAGCGTGAATGGATGCATGGATTGTGAGGTTATGCGATGGCAACACTTACCGATGGAGTGATCGGCTCCTTTTGATTTGGTGTACGCAAGGAAAGCAGCCAGCAGGAAAATGGAGGACAGTAACTCAGCCCTGCCCACGACACCTGTTACCTGCACATACCGAAGGAATGCGGTTAAACATTTCAACAGCTCGATGTGCAACACTCCTCATGGGGAGTTTCATTTGATCAAAATGCACCAAACTCAAGACTGTAAAATTAAATGTCTTATGACTTAAAGGGTTACTCCACTTTTTTTGGAAATAGGCTCATTTTACAACTCCCCCAGAGTTAAAAAGTTGAGTTTTACCGAATCCATTCAGCCGATTTTCTGATATTTAGTAGAATATCAGTAACCAGACAGTTTCTGGTCTCATTGACTTCCATAGTATATGATATGGTTACTGATATTCTTCTAAATATCAGAAAATCGTCTGAATGCATTTGAAAACGGTGAAACTCAACTGTTTAACTCTGGGGGAGTTGTAAAATCAGCCTATTTCCAAAGAAAGTGGAGTATCCCTTTAAGCAGGTTTTTACAGTAGTGCTTCTTCTTATGAAAAGTATGAGATTGGACGGGGATGTTTATGCCATGAACAGTCATGAGACAGGTGCAAGAGGAACCAGTTTTAAGCAATCAATCATAGCTGTGGAGCAGTAATAATTTTCCCCCTTCCTTCATCCTGTGAGAACCTTTGCTAAAAATACCGCAAGCCGTTATAAGATAATCATATCATAATTAATTGTTATATGATGTTATAAACAATCAGTGGGGTTAAAAAACTGAGACCAAAAGTTGCAAAAGCTCTTAACTTTAATGCAATTTTCAATTGCAAATAATTACACTAGAGCTGCACGAATAATCGTTAAACGAATGAGATCTTTTAAACACCCATGCAATCTCATTCCTAAATGAAAATCAATTCGGTAATAAAAGTATTTATTGAATCATTAGTTATGCATATAACTACTGTTTTCAGAAAGAGTGAAACGAGGTACAACACATGACTATGGGATTGCATGCTCTTACCCCATTTGCTGAAGACACCCTTATTCACACTTCAAAAGGCTGATGACACATATCGACGTGGGTTACCTACCCTCAGCATATAAATGCAGTCCCATGCGTCATTCCCTTTTTTCAATCCAGCTCTTGTCTTGACCCAGGAGTTGTAACCCGTTTCCCTCTTTCTGGGAACAGTAGTTATATGCTTCACTCATTATTCCCATTCAGTCGGTTCACTCGGTACAGCACATGACTATGGGACATATATTCAGACCTGCAAAGTCGCTTAACTAAATGTAAGGGACCAGCATCGCCACTAGGGGTGTCACGATTCTCAAAATCCTTGATTTGATGACATTTTCGATTCTAAGGTCACAATTCAATTCTATTCTCGACTTTTACCTTTGGGCAAGTTCTGTCGATGGGTCTCCTGCAGCACTTCTCGCAACACTTCAACACGCGTGTTTTTTTCCGCTGAACGGACGCGACATGGGGGTCGTGGCAGCATTGACGATTCCATTTTTTTATTCGATTTTCAAGATCGAATTCACAGTTTCAATCGATTTTGATTTAAAATCGAAATTGGGACACCCTTAATCGCCCTGTTCCTTTTTCAAGGGAGTGACGGCTTCTTGGGGAAGCATTTAAATAAATATAAAAAAGGCCTGCAGTGAACACAGACTGAGCTATTGTCGCTGCAGTGACATGTAGTCAGTAAACCAGACAAACATGCTAATGCCCAACTGGCAGCCACACAAACATCTTACACCATGCCCATGACGTTTCCCTGCCCCTCCTAGAGTGTGCATGCACCCCTGCAGGCAAAACCAACTCCTTATCTGCTATAGACTAATCCATGCTTTCTAAAATCCAATGCGAAAGACATTGCTTAGATAGCGGGTTCCCAATGGCAAAGATGACAAAAAGCTGGTCAGATGAGCGCACAGCCAGCATCTACTCAATGTGCCTGTGTACAACTCGCAGAGGGCACAGAGAAGTCACCTGTCTTCCTCTGAGTCAGAGATTTTACAGGGCAGGCAGCTCAAATGGGAGCACACTCCTGACATGACTTTAGGAGTATCTGCCGCATCCAGACTCAACAGACTTCTCCAGACCTACCATGAAGGCACCATTCATTTTGTAAAAAGTATACTTCGGTCGCACTGTGTCTGCATGACATAATTTTGGTCAGCAGAGAGGTTTGTGGATGTCTGCGCACACTGTCCGCATGCAGCCCAATTTTTGTGTCCGTGCATATGAACAACAGTGCAGCAGGTGCAAGTGACTTGATCGCTTGGATACAAAGTCCACAAGCAAGTGTGTGCTCGCCAAACGTGTCTTTCTGCACTCACGGCCAAAGGAGTATACCTGGAAAGGCTCGCACGCTCAACTGTGCGTGATACAGAGCGCAATGTGGAAGTTCCACGACGGTCCACACACTGTCTGTGTGACGTCATTATCATCATCATGAGGGTCGCGTGCAGCCCAATTTTTGTGATTGCGCGGACAGCAGCACATATGTTAGTGACTTGAAAACAAAATCTGCTAAATTTGCGTCTTTCCACGCACACGGCCAAAGGAGTATACTTTAAAAGGCTTGTGCTCTCTTGACTGAGCTAGAAATGGAGCGGATCATGGAAAATGAAGTATACCGGGCCTTTAAAGTATTAGTTCACTTTAAAAAAAAACTTTTGCTGATAATTTACTCACCCCCATATCATCCAAGATGTCCACGTCTTTCTTTCTTTTTAAAATAAATTAAGGTTTTTGATGAAAACTTTACAGGATTTTTCTCCATATAATGGACTTTAATTAGTTTCAAGGTCCAAATGACAGTTTCAGTTCCGCTTCAGAGGGCTTTAAACGCTACCAGAAGATGAATATGGGTCTTTTCCAGCGAAACGATTGTTCATTTCAAAAACGCGCTCGCGACTCTCCTGTTCGAATACTACCTACAAACTTTGTTGCCACTCTTCCATACAGATAAATGACTAGGTGGCCAAAAAAAAAAGGAGACGACCACCAAATAAAGAAGATCACCGCATCTGGATCAGCACCCGAAGACAAGTGCGTACCGTGTCTGGCCACTGATCCACTGAGGATGCGTCACACGTCTCAAGTGTGAAATGATAAAGCTGCCGGCAGAACACACATGCAACGGTGTTGGAGAGATACAGCCAAGCATGGACAATTCCAAACACACTGGACAGTACTCGTGAGTAGGCTAAATCATAAACACCCACATGCCATAGGACGGGGGGAGAACTTTCCACACGCAAATTTCCATCTTCATGATACTACGTTTAACAGTAGGCTACGAAACATAAGGAAAATATAAGATATGGACTATAAATGCCATTTATGCCGTCAGATTGAAAATCATTAATTGTCCTTGTCTTGTTTAAGAATAAGTACTCTATCAAAATATCCGTAAAAGCTATATAAAATACTTTTCAGAGAAGAGCCGTTCTCATTATTTTCCACTGGCAAAATAGTAGCAATTTTTAATTGGTTTAAACTGATCAAATTTATTAAATTTTGCCTATAAGGTTGACATATTTTAGGATATTTTTTGTATTTTTTAATGGAAAACGATGTTGGCTTACTTTTTGTTTGCGGTGTAATTACAATTGTCTGACTCACTGACAAAACTAATCTTACAGTTTCCTTCAAATGCAATGTTGGGAAGATCACAGAAGGAGTTATCAATTATTAGGCAACTGTCTGCCTGCACACGACATTAACAGCAGTGGTTGTACAGCACTGCCATCGGACCTATTCAAACCGACCAATGGACCGTTCAACCGAGTCAATTGCACATCATTGATCACTCCTTCTCGTAAGATATGAGTCAGACCATGAGTTCTGTACTTTGTTTAAAGTATCGTCATGACTCATGTGCCTAGAAATCCTTGCTGACATTAAAAAATAACTTGCCAAAGGAAAAGTGTTCAAAAGCAGCACATCAACTACAAATATTTATAATATCTAATTTAATACAAATTTTATTTAACTTCTGGATAATGGCTTTATGTCATTTGAATGCTTAACTCCATTAATGAGAGTAGAATATATCAAAATGATAAGTGTTTAAAATCATTCTGTTAACTTTAATTGACTTTAAAAGAGTGCATAAGCACAGTCTAGAGTGTGTGGATGGTGCACACATATTTAAGGCAAGATTGTTTATAAATCCCAATACGTGCATGCCATGCATAAATTGTGTAGGCATATTTCAATGCAATTTGTGTGCATACGAAGCGTTTATACATCAGGCTGCTTCAATGGAATCAAAATCTGAACTTTGGATGAGTTCACATGCTCAATGTCACAAATTTTCTTATTTAATTTAATTAATTGTTACTCATTCACTGAACTTTATCAAATTTTCCTCCGAAACTTTATTTCCACATTTAAATTAGATTATGATAAGTCGTTTTGTAGTGTGTCTGATTTATACCTTAGTGGCAAAAATGGCATTGGCGTTTGTGCATTTCTGTAAATAGCTAGGCCTAGTCAAAATATATCAACTCATAATAACATTAAAAAAAAAGATTTGCTTGCTCAGATCACTCAACAAATGTTCATGAAAGACTCCTTGTGGCATTTTTCAACTTTTTAAACAAAGCAATCAACTATATCATTTCTACACTGTAAAAAAATATTTTTCACATGATTTTCATGATAGTAATCACAACATTTTTTTTTAGTAATCACAATCATTCTTTTGTCAAATCAACTTAAATAATTAATTTAGTTCAGATAACATATAATTTTGAGTTTCTGATGATTAAATCATTCTCCTTCATTGTATTAACTCACTTTCTCCATTTCAATGAACTTAAAATTTTAAGGCAATCAGGTTACTTACTTTTTTAAGTTAAACCAACAATATTTTTTTACAGTGTATAGACCATCTAAAGATAAGCACAATGGTAGATGGTATAACAGTTTTAGAGAAAGACTAGATCAGATTAACACATCAGTTCTTATGTCACCCGCACAGGGACTGGTCTCCATTTCACTAGCATCCCTGATTTTTAACTGATAAACAACCCCCAGTCCTATAGTAAAGCACTCTAATCAGATAGCATACCACTGTACTCCGCTTTATACAGTTAATGTATTCCCCCTCTCCAAGGATTTTGACCTTGTGAACTTCAAACAAGTGATATCTCGCTTAAAAGGAAAGGAAAGCATACGAAAAAGGAAGCAAATATTGACTGAAATGAAAAGGGCTCAATTTCAAACAGTGTTTCCATGGTAATGTACAACTGTTTACATGCAATGCACACTGGGACATGAAGCTCTATCTATTACTGCCATCATGAGGCGGCATCTGCAAAATCGCTACATCCATGTTGAAGTGTTTGTTCCTCAACTTTGTGCCAAAGTTCATTTACGCAAACAACAAAGGCAAAACGACTAATGAGGAAACTTCAACATTATAACAAGGTCAACCAGAAGCATCAGGATTAATAAAGAAACTTTACATGAAAGTAGCAAAACTAATTCCACCACTGGAGTTCATTCACATGTCAGATACTATTCAATAGAATAGAAAACTTTATTGTCATTGCATTTAAAATACAACAAAATTGCAAATGGCCTTCTGCATCACATACCATATAATATTGTAAATAAAACATGTTGATAAATCTGTTAAAGTGCCCCTATTATGCTATTATAATGGTTCCTAATTTTTATTTTGATGGTCTCCTAAAATAGGTTTATATTTACATTTATTCTTTTTAGCTGACACTTTTATCCAAAGCGACTTACAATTGCTATATATGTCAGAGGTCGCACGCCTCTGGAGCAACTAGGGGTTAAGTGTCTTGCTCAGGGACATGCATCCAAGGTCAAAAAACGCATACATTTTCACATAATATATACATTGCACCATGTCACATGGTCTGAAACAGTTCGATCAAGTATCGTGTCTCTCTAAAATTCCTTTCTGAGAGCCTACTCTGCTCTGATTGGTCAGATGGCCCAGTCTGTTGTGATTGGTCCACCACTTACAGCGCATGTCAGAAATGAAAAGGCCATTACTATTTCTGAATGTCAGCTCAGGATCTTCTTCAGCACTTAATACACAGTGGTGTGAACCGTGATAATGGTGTCGGCTTTACCATATCAATTCATACCGGAGTTCTCATCCTCTGGAAATGCGCATAAAACAACATCCTCTCGGCATACCAACAACATATATCTGAAAAAGCACAATAGCAGCACTTTAAAATGACATAATAGCAGTTACTTACAGCCTCTGTGTGAATGGGATGGACGGCAAACAGCAGGGCCGCTGTGAGGCTGGTGCTTCGGTCCAGGAGCAGACGGCAGAAGTGGAGAAAGAGGACACACACCACGGCATGAAGAACCACATTGAGGAGGTGGTACGACGAGGAGCTCAACTCGCTGAACAGGTAATTGAGGCGGAAGGTGAGAACGGTAAGTGGCCGATAAGACTTATGACTCCTCTCCTGAAGAAAAAGACAAGGTTGGATACAACAAGACTCCAAAACAAAAACATATCTCATTGAGAAAGCAAGCTGAAGTTCTTCACTTTGCAAAAGAAATTTGTACTACCTCTGACATAGGTGTGCCCCAGAAGTCATTGAGGAAGAGGTTCTTCAGCGGTGTGGTGGGACGAAGGTCTTTGTTATCCAAGATAGCAGAGACATCATCGAACACAAAACCACAGAACAGGCTGTTCCAGTAGCAGCCCACCACCAGTCCAGTCAGAAGACAGATCTCCTTCCACGAGACTACAGCCATCGCTGACGTGAGACCTCATTGAGCACTGCAAAGGCAGACAAGGAACCATTGGGCCTCCTGACATGATTACGAAATCATTTGAATTCAGGCAATGTTGCCAATAAATCATTCAGACCTTTGTGTGAACTGGTTTGATTAATTACAAAGATCTGAATGCTGATGCCAAGCATTTTAAAACTTGCTTCATATATTCACATAGGACCTTTCAATGTAATGATTTTATAGCGCCAATAATAGGTTGAGACGAGTCAGATTTATGTAACCTCCCTAGAGTAACGCGCTACATAAAAAGAGCCTTTTTAGTAAACTAAGCCGCACCCTACATTCTTCTTTGGCTACAGGTATCCATGTTGAAGTTAAAAATGATTTTAATGACTGTTGACAATGACAATTTTATATTTCTGTGCTCTACAGCGCCATTTACTACATGATAAATTTTTAATCGCATATTGACCAATTTTTTTAGTCACTTTACGGTTTGGTCGATATCTTATATTGTAAGACAGAGGAAGTATGTTACTATTATTTGTTATTTTATTTAATTATTTAATGATGATAATACTGAAAAACAGTGTTCACAAGCTCTACAATACAGTGTTGTTGCTGTTAACAACTATTAAAATTGATTCTGTTCATTAAAATAAACCTGAAATATACTTAGTTTAAACTAACTGCAACTCAATTAAATAAGTTTAAGTATTACAATTACTACAAATGAGATAAAAAAATAAAGCTAAAAAATAACATGAAAAATTAAATAAAAGCTTAAACTAAAATGAAAGCGGCAGTCCGCAGTTTTTGCTCTGTCGCCATCTCTGTTTGAAATCTGCAATTGCAGTCATTCGCGGAATTATCCACTTTTCGCGAGTTGTGCTTCGACACGGCACAGCGCAGATGAATCCAATTTGAGGAAAAATGTGCAGCTCACCGTGCTGGTGTGGTTACTGTCACTCGGAATCACAGATTCTACTTTTTGGAAGTATGACCAACATTAATTTTCACCCTAAAATGTCATCTGAACAAGTATCACTTTTGTTCTTCTGACCAACTAACAGCATTGCAAAAAACATTGCAGTGAATTGCGCTGATTAAATGTTATCGATCGATTACCATATCACATAAAACCATGCATATTATACTTTGTTCTCAAATTGTTAATTTGTTAATGTTAACATCATCACCATTTACACTTTTCACATGGGCCTGGTTGCAGTTTTTTTTTTCTCCAAACTTTCAGTCCAAAGTTTTTTGCATTTACAGCGGGTGAATTTCTAGTTGTCTCTGGTGGTTGTATACTTGCTCAAAATTATTTGGGATAATTTTTAACCCAAAAAAGTTACTGACTGGGGCTTTAATATAACTTTTATATATATATACATATACATATATATATATATATAATTTTACTAATATTTTAGAGCAGAGATAGACAAATACACTAATAATCACTATCAAAATTCCATATCCTATTTAATTTTAATTTATTTTGATGACCTTTCAATGCCTGCAAAACCATTTTAAAATCCCCTTAAATTTCCTATGACCTTTAAATCCCTGTTTAAATCAAACTGCTGCATTGCGAGTTGCGATCTAAATACAGAGATAGATCAGAAGAATGATCGTAATAATAGAATAATTTGTGCGGATTGGGAGCAGAGAAGGCGCACCCCCATAAATCATGACCAGCCCATCTAGCCTAGCCATCAGTTAGCATTTGTTTCCATTGAGATGAATCTGATAATGCATACATTAACGTTACATTATGAAAACATCAAAGCAACTTCCATCCCTAATAAATACCATCAATGTACTGATGATTAAAATAAACTGGTTTAAATTTACAAGACACTGGTCTGATCAAAGATCAAGTCTGGCTTAAGCTGTTTCATTAGCATTCAATGACTACTCGATTAAACAATCAGTCTCAATCTGTCATCAGTGATCGTCAGGATTTAAATAGATTGACAACTCACCTTGTCATGTCTGGTAAAAAAAAAAAAAACTAAAGGAAAACAGAATGTGTGTGTCTGTGTGTTTATTTTGGCTGAAGCAGCAAGTTCGATCTAAAGCATTGAATTGAACAGGGACAACCGCTTCCGGGTCAAAATTCTTGGCAGAATAAAAGTAATGAATTCTAAAGCGCTAGTTACAGGACTTTATATTTCTCAATGAAAAGATATCAACTAATACATATTTTTTCCATATTATATCCATAGAAATAAAAGCACAATATAATATTTTACGAGCGTCACAAATCGTATGGCGTAAGGTAAAATCATAAAATCAAGAACCAACGGAGACAAGTTTACGACGTTCCGCTTTACGACTGTTTTCCTGGTTGCCTAGAAGCAGTACAGAAAAGGGGAACACAAGATGGCTAGGCTGGTTTAAAAAATAAGGTCTGAATGCGTTATTTACAGTGTACTTTTTTATGAATAGGTACAAAATGTGCATGTGTGACATTAGGAAACGCATTTTTATAATGTAGCTATCAAAACAAAATGTGACCAATATGCACAGTGCCAAGCTTGTGTTTTCTGAGGTCTGTATTTCTTGCTAATATCTAGCTTGTATTTTTGTTCTCTATTTAGTAATATACTATTCTACGTCTTCATATGAAAGTGTATCCATTGTGTCCTGTGAAAAGCCTTTGTGGATGGATGGATAAGATTAGAATATTGTACATTTAGCATGATATTTCTGTGTCTGTAACGTTAGAAAATCACACTGACGTTTACCAGGTTCAACTGTTGAGCTGAAAGATGCCTGCCGCCGCAGACTGGAAGCTGCTCATGGGAGTGGACCCAGAGGACCTGGGAGATGATGATGAGAAAATCTGCGATTTGATTTTAATGGTATGTGTGTTTTGATAAGTTGCAATGATCAGGAAATGATAACCATAATATTGAATTATGTCTTATAATAAGTTGCAATGATCAGGAAATGATAACCATAATATTGAATTATGTCTTATAATAATAATAATAATAATAAATGTTTCTTGAGCCCTAAACACCATAAATCATGTGACACTGAAGACTGGAGTAATGAAGCTGAAAATTCAGCTTTGTGTCACAGAAATAAATTACATTTGAAAATATATTCAAACAGAAAACAGTTAAGTTAAAGCGAAATAATATTTCACAATATTATATTACTGGCTATTTTTTTTTTTGTTGTTGTATTTTTAATTAAATAAATGCAGGCTTGGTGAGCAGAAGAGGCTTATTTTAAAAACATAAAAAATGTTACCGATCCCAAACTTTTGAATGGCAGTGTATGTATAGTATATTTAGTGTTAAATTGTTGATAGGTTGTTTGGAAATTAAAAAATGTAAACAATTTTCTGTGTGACTATGTGCAAATGCAAAGTTTTATTATTATTATTATTATTATTATTTTTAATTTTATATTGATGTTGCAAGACATAAATACACATTTGGTCATATTATACAACATTTTTGTCTTGTCCTACTTCATCTTTTTTCCCCAAAATCAAAAAATAAATACAAAACAAAACAAAACAAATGATCATGGATCACATCAACCCAATTTTCCATTCTTGGCGCTTCCACCTTTAGCCATTTCCTAGCAATTCCCTTTTTTCCTGCTAGTAACATGATTTTAAACATTTTACAATTCAGATTCGTTTTACCTTGCATATTAAGTCTTCCCAGCAAATGCCAAGTTACAATGCTTGGGTATTGTTTGTATGTAAGGTTGCATGTTCAAAATAAAATTCTACCTTTCCAGCAAAACTAGAAAAAATGTTAAACATCTCTAATCCTGGGTTTTATTTTTAGACTAACATCTGCTTACTGGAACAAAAATATTCTTCCTGCAAATTCATCTTACAATCATGTTTTTCCTTCCTTTGTAGGTCCAACCACGGGACCTGAAAGCAGATGATTCAGAGAAAATGATTCAGCTCTTTAGAATCTCACAAACGCTCCTGAGGGTACGACTAATGCACCGTCACCACACATCTGCTCTTTCATTTGGAAACCTTTGAATTTCTTTCAATTCAATTATCTGGTCATTGAAGTCTTGCCATATGCAGTTGCTGTTCTATTTAATGTCTTTCTGACCCTCAGATGAAACTTGATGAAATAAAATGTGCCTATGAAGTTGTAGAGAGAGCAGGTGTGGACCAAGCACGAATTGGTATGTACAGTCATTATTAGATTTGCATTTCCTACTGAAAAGTGCTGGCAAGGAAATAAAAGAATAGTGTTCAACTTTATTAAATAAAAAAATGGATTAAGCGAATGCCCTTTTTGACGTCACACAAATAAAAAATGACATAAAACATGCACTGGTTTGATAGATCAATCAAACTTGACATCAATGGCAATTAGCATTTTAAATTCAAACCTATGGCTGAAATGATCACAAAACTTGAATGAATGTGAATGTGCATTAGACGGTTTTAATTGTTTCAAACAACATATTCATATTATATGATTTATTGTAAAAGCATGCAGTTTATTTAGTAATATATGTATGCTTGCATATTGACTGATTGCAGAAAGTGAGCTGAAAGCTAAAGTTCTAAAACTGGAAGGTGAGCTGGAGGTAAGGGAGGAATTTCATCCACACAAGTGTGTTTATTATGTGCGGTTTGTGAACAGTCTCTGTACAAGTACTTAAGAGGATTACTGGTTTAATTCCCTGTGTGTTGCTTTCTGTTATAAATTGTTCCAAACATCACATTTCCTTAAATATGTTTATTGTTGTGAAAAGAAGAGAGGTGTCATTGAACCGCACAGCTCACCAGTGTCCCGGATATACACAGATGGAGAGTTTTGGGTCTTGAGCTTTATTCAGATCCATCTCACTTCCTGTCCAGATGGCCCAGCGTGTGGTGGGAGGGGCGGACACTCGTTTCCTCCGGGATGAGATCCACCAACTGGAGAGTCACCTGGAGCGCAAGGAGAGAGAGGTGACCCAGCTGGAGAAAGAAATGGGCAAGGAGAGGAAAGTCAATGAGGAGGTAGGCAGCGCTTTCCACAAATAAGGTACTAAATAGTACCAGAAACACTAAAGTTTTTGTTTTTTCGGTAACACTTTATTTTACACTGTCCCTGTTACACTTCACATGTATTTACTATAGCAATAACAGCTAATTATGCATAATTGCAAGCAACTAACCCTAACCATAATGTAATAAGTACATGTTGTTAATTATTATTTCTCCATTTATATATTTTTTTACAGTAACAAGGTTGAATGCTTGAGTTGATTAACACTGAAAGGTGTGTAAAATTTTGAAAATGGAAGAGAGGTTATCCATTGTCTTCCTTCTATGTTGTAGGAAAGGTTCAAGTGATAATTTTAAGGAATCATACTTTTTTTTCATAATAAAGAAGACAATGATGTGGGACACTGCTTAATATAATGTTTTGGGTACTAAAATATAGTTATTAATTGAATGAATTGGTTATTAACCCAACTGAAGCTGTCAAAATGATATATTTGAATTAAGTAAACGTCATTTTTATTAAAACCAAAATAATATTATTATTATTATTATTATTATATATAGAATAATCATAAGAACAATACTGTAGCTGCAGGTGTAAGATTGATAACAGACTGATGCATGTTTTCACACAGCTGGCTGTCCGTGCTGAAGAGGCAGAGGAGAAGAACAGGAAATTAAAAAGAGAGGTATGTCCAATCCTTTTATGGGCCTGCAAAAAAACTTCTTAAATCTTCCTCTTTCTATTACTTACATTTATCCATTCCATTATATCTCTTATATCACCTTCTCTTCTCAGCTATTCCCCTCACTGACCATTTCATTTTTATTTATTTTTTATGCATGCCTGTTATTGTTCTTTTTCTATCCTTTTTGTTCCTTGCTGTCATCTCTTGTCACTGCCCCTCAAGATAAAGCAGCTTACCAAGAAGGTAAGACCCCAGATTATGCAGAATTAGAGTAGCCAATCTATCTTATCAGAAACATGTTTATGTCAAATGGAACTGCATTTCCAGTTTGATCTGGACTGGTAACCAAAAAGTGGCCTTGAAGAAATTCAAATCGCCATCTGGTTTGGATTGGAATATGATAGACTTGTTCCATTAAGTTCCATTCATTTAAAACTAAACGTTTTCCCAAGGAGTAATTTCACTTGCCCCGTTTAAATGTTGTTTAATTTTAGTGATGTATCTGTATATACATTTTTCTTTACAGTATAATTTACAATTTCATTAAAAATAAAACAGCTTATAACAGTGTTAAGTTATTCATTTGTTTCCTGTATCCATGTATTTAAATCAGTGTAACCAGCAACAATGCTAACACTCTCTCCTTGATAGAGCAAGCTAATGGATTTGTTCATTACTGCAGAATGAACAGCTGCAACAGGATGTCGAATTCTACAGAAAGGAAGTAGAGCAGAGAGAGCCTCTTCAGACCAAAGAGGAGAGCAATGAGATTCAGAGGAGACTTACCAAAGCCAACCAACAGCTCTACCAATGCATGGAGGATCTGCAGGTAATTCCCACATGACCTTCAGGCTGCCATGTAATGCCATCATAAAATGGCAGGATCACTGCCAAGCATAATACAACTCTAATTATGCTTTTGGCCCTCCTTTTAAACGAAAAAAACAAAAAAATTACACATAAACTGCAAGGTGAAAAGAAATTCAAGGTGAATCTTTTTTATTTCATTTAATCTGAAATTAAATAATACACAAAATCACTTTAGTAGCATTTATATTTTTGAAGGTTTTAATTGTTTAAGGTTTATTTTAATTTTAAAAAGAAACCACTGTCGAAATAAGTCGACTTATTAAAAAATGTACAACATATATAGATATATATATATGGAGTAGTTCACGCTATTGTTCATCAGCTTATATCAATATTGATATGTAAATGTGACATCAGTAACAAAATGTTTGTTTGGTATTTTCATTAGGTGGTGTGTTTTCAGTCTTGGTGGTCTGGTGAAGACCACTTTGTGAAACTTAATATGTATTGACATTGTACATCAAACTCAAAAGTAGCCAGGAGAAACCTGAATGTATAATCTTTTAAAGTACATTTCAAATGCAATCTCCTGTTATGTGACATCTTTGTGATCAACATATTCTCCCTATTCCCAGCATGCCGAAGACATGGCTGCCAACCTGAAGAGCGAGAATGAGCACCTGCAGACCAATCTGGAAGAGTCTGTGAAGGAGATGGAGAAGATGACGGATGAGTACAACAAGATGAAGATCGCGGTCCAGCAGACGGACAGCATCATGGATCAGCTGAGAAAAGAGAGAGATCATGCCAAGCTTCAGGTGCTTTAATCATGATTATACGATGTTTAAGGCCAGTACTAGAAGCTAATTGGTCAATTAAGTTTCCAGCAGTGCTCGAAGTGGGGCGGTACTCACCGGTACGCATTACCGGCACTTCTACATTTCACTTCTACATTTGACAGAAAAAGCGTGACGGTGCTTTAACCCCTTATTTACTGCACACATCTGCGGCGCGTTACGCCTGCGAAACGGCAACCTGAGCTGATCACGGGATTCGCGGCCACCACAAGCGTGAGTAGCGCGTATCTTTTTTTCGGCTTGCATGTCACACCGTGAGGAGGAGCGTCGCGTGAGCAGCGGGGGTTCGGTGCCGTCGCGCCAAGTCTGTTTTTGTTGGGGTCACGCTCGTTTAAGGTGAAAGCACAATTTTGATGGAGAAAATAAATCTGATTTCACACAAAAAGTGACCAAAATGCACAGAATTTGCATGTCTAGTGTGTTTACAAGAACTGGAGTAGGCTACGTCAGAAAAGAAAAAGACTCAAACATATTTATACAAGATTTATCCATTTAAACTGGTCATAATTATTCAGTTAGGGTAAAACTATGTTTTATAAATAAATAAAACGAGCAAGCTAGTCAGAATATAAGCTTTTCTTTTAGTTTTAGTTATAGCCTACACAGACAGGTAGCCTACAAACCTAGTGTAGGCCTACTTTTTTATGTTTGCTGTCTTGTAAACATATCGAAGTATGACTGAAAAGACAATATTGAGAGATGTTTTCTTGGTTGTTTCTGTTGTTTACCATTTACATGCAATTGTTGTATACTTCCCATCTTAACTAACTTCAAGTTTATTAATGACCAACTTCTAAAAAGAGAAAATTTCTTTTTAAAGAAATGTGCGCACACACACGACTTGTTTAAATACATTTGTGTTGTTAATAAATAACAATAAATTGTTGTTGTAAGAGCAATATTTCCAAGTTTTGTTTTTCCCTGTAAAAATCTCAATTTGTCATGATTTGCCAATGCAAGAGAGTATCGGCACCTTTTTTCCCCCACTTCAAGCACTGGTTTTCGGTCACATAAATAAATGGCTGCCATTGAGCAACCGAGTAGTTTATGAATGTGCATAAATGGGTCTCTCTCTTTTATGATTAAAAAATGTAATTATTGTTATTATTATTATTGCAGGCGCTATAAAAAATAAACATTATTATTATTATTATTATTATTGAACCTCATTGTAAAAGGATGTCTTTTGACAGGTCAGAGAGCTAAGTGAACAGATCCAGGCTAGAGTTGAAGAGGACGACCCAGTAATGGCTGCTGTTCATGCCAAAGTGGAGGAGTGGAAGGTGAGCCAACAAACAGCTTGTATGCAAATATGGTGACATTTCTCGGTAGTACAGTGTTATTGTTTTCTTTTGCTCCTATGTCTTGAAGAATTTCTGTTGAATAGATTGAATAATTGCCTTTGATCCAGATTCTTTCAACAGGTTCTTTTAGTTAATGATCCAAGAATATTTTTGGAACATGTTTTATTTATTTTTTAACATTGTGCTGTCACACATCTACAATGGAAATCAGCTTGTATACGTTGTAAGAAATATAGATGAGAAAATACTTGGGCTTTTAATTTATTTAAAAATATATATATATTATCATGTATATCGATATTTCATGTGAAAAGCTCCCAAATGAACCCAAACGAACATTCCTTTTTTGTGTAAGTAACTTTAAATAATGTACCTAACTTTACATTATTTTTTAATGAATAGACTTTACAAAAAGTGCCTTCAGAAGTCAATATGAGAAGTCAAATATAATAGAATATTCTCAAAATTGTGTTTTTTAGCATAATTTTAAAAAAAGAATCTATTTTATAATCAATTGTTCTAACTTAAGACGTTCCTGGAAAATACATGAGAATATTTTCTAAAGGCTAGTTCACACTGCCCCAAAATAAAGAATAAACTCCAGACACAAATAAAGATCACATAATCTCATTGGGAGAGCAAAAACACTCAAAAGCACTTATGCTTTTAACATTTGTTGCATAACAAATGAAGTAAAAAATGATTTCCATTACTCGAGAGTAGATGTTTTACTTTATGTACTCGGCTTTCGCCAAGATAAGCACAAACTAAGACGTAGCTTTACATTAACCTATCCTTCTCTATATGGTGGTGTGACTCAGCACACGCAACGGCTGCAACTACAGTGTGGTCTCCCCAGTGGACTGGCACCACAACCGCAACTGTTCCAGATGGCATATTACCTACCGCAAAACACAATATCTGCCCAAACACCACCCGCCAATCACGCAAAATACACAGGATGATTGTAATTACTATGCAAGCTATACAAAGAAACCAACAGACTCTTCGAGTTTTTCAAGAATTCTATGAAACCGTAGCGTGGCGGCCTTTACACAGACAGCTAGAATATTTCCGTCTCAACCACAGCCATTTGCTGCTCCTTTCTGCTGCTTCAGATAAGTTTTGTGTGACACCACTCTTGGCCACTGAATCTGACGTCTCTGAGGAACCGGGTTAACATAATGACACATTATGACAAGTTCAAACAAATCAGCTATGAAAAACAACATTATCACAAAGCCTAATCATTTACGTTGGAACTACTCTTTCTTTGAATAGATGTGATACCTGATGGACATGATCCAAAAAGTTGAATAGCTTGTAATTAGAGTTGCTCAAGTTTTCTGTCTTGTTTAAAACGATAACAGTTTGGTGAAAATAAGTGCCAAATGTCTAACCCGCAGAAGGTATCATACATCCTAGCAGGGGCGTCCCTAGAGGGGCGAAAATTAGTGACGTTTGGCCCACAGCAACATCTCATGGGCACCAGGAGCCCTGGATACCCTAACTAAGGCCATGAATCCTTGCAACCTATACCCAGCAATGGTCCTAAACAGTCATAAACAAAATACACAATGAGTCTAATATGAGAAATGAGGGAATAAAAAAAGTGTTATTCTTTTGATAGTTTAGGAAGTTCTACATGCTGTAACTGTCATGTGTTTGTGTTGGTTTCAGAGTGTTTTATCAGTGAAAGATATGGAAATTTTGGAGTATCAACAGATGATCAGAGATTTGAGGGAGAAACTTCGAGCTGCTCAGATGGACTCCGACAAAAGCAACATTATCGCACTGCAGCAGGTCAGTCAGATATCACAGTTCAGAAACATAAAAAGTTGTAATGCCTCAAACTTAAATTTTTTATTTACTGTATTTGTTTGTTGAATTTAATATACAATTTGTAATATGCAAGTATACATATTACATTTGTATTTTGATACAAATTATAATTTTTTAATTATCAACTAAAATGTATTTCATTAATCAGGTGATGGCATTCATTGTAATACTCACTGTTTGTATTCTTTCTCTCTTATACATTTTTATTTATCAACCAAACTCATAATGCTTTAAATTTAGTTAAATTTTTGCCCTATTAATGCAGCATTTCTATTTGCAGCATTTCTAAATAGGAAATAAAGTGATTTCTGAGTTATAACATTGAATAGTGCCTTTATTAGCGGTGATTAATGAAATGAGAATTAGAAGTTGGCCATTGATCATTTTAACAAACTTGTTTATTGTGAAATTGAATTTATGCGAGTAAGACATGAATGAATGAATAAGGAATGGAACAAAACCCCAGAGTGTAGCAATAAACTGCTCAAATCATCTGGATTCAGTCAGATTTACTGAATAGAAAGTGTTTATGTGTTTGTCATGTGGAACGTAGCCCGCCAGATGTATTGTTTTAAAGAAATTTTCTTTTGTTTTCTTCATAATAGCCTGTATTGCAAAAGATTGTGTTGATAACTCCGATCTAGATAGATAGATCGATAGATAGATCGATAGATAGTGCTTGATTAATTGGGTTTATAGTGCATTTCAATGTGTTTTCTCTTAAGTTTAGTACATGACGCATGACAGAAATATTTTAAGTGGCAGAACTCACCATCGCCACTGTGATGCTTCTGGGAACACAGCATGAATGCTGTAACCTGTTAACACGAGTGCTGAAACTGGCCACAGATGCGAGATGTGTGAAAAAGGCCTCAGATCTATGCTAATGCATTGCCAATTTGGCTTAGTTTGTCTGCTTTATTATGTCTGTCTCTCTATTTGTGTGTTCTTTTGGTTGCACGCTCCTTTTAATCATTACTACTTCCTTTCAAATGCTTCATTGGCTTGCAAATGTTTCCTTTTTCCATTCTCTCTCCTATACGACTCGGCCGAGTCAGGTTATATATGAACTTTGTGCTGTGAGTATCTCTGTTTCTCATTTCCTTTGTTTTATGTGCCATTCATTCATCTGTCTTCATTCATTGTTTCCATCATATTGGTTCATCTCATTGTATCCCAGTTCAAAGAAGTCACTGACTTTGTGTTTGACTTCAAAAGGCTGTGCAAGAGAGGGACAACCAGATCAAGATGCTGTCAGAGCAAGTCGAGCAGTACACTACTGAAATGGAAAAAAACGCTCTGCTCGTCGAGGAGCTGAAAAAACCACTGAAGAAGGAAAAAGGTCATGTCAGTGTGCAGCAGCGGAGGTTGGAGGACTTGAGCAGTAAACTGCTATTGGCTGAGAGGAGAGCTCTGGAGGCCGAGCGTGCCGCCCAACTGGCCGAACGTGACGCCAGGGACAAAGACAAAGAACTCAATGACACCCTCAGTCGAATCCGTCTCTATGAGTCTGTGAGTTTGTACCTTGGCACTTACCTTCAGTATTGTAAAATTCACTGCTGTTACAAAGTCAAAATACTTGTTGGGGTTGCTATAAATAGTCTGAGGTTTGGTTGACTATTAGTTAATCTATTTTCCAATAGCATCTTCAACTCAATAAAGTCACAAAGCATCTTAACAAGATCTTGAATCTACAAGTAGAAGTCGCACGATGCGTTTAGGAACAATTTCAGCCAAAGGATGTGTTCCTTATAAGCTCACTTAAATGTTTTATATTTTCATGAAATCTTTAAAATATACACATTATACATTTAATGAGTAAAATAATATATGTTTGAATGTGGTTATCAACAGTTTAATTTTTTTTTTTTGTTCTGTTACATTTATCTTCGTGACCACTTGCTAAAGATAATGAAATTTATGTTCATATAATCAGGTTGTATCATATGATTTTAAAAATAAAAAAAAAATATCACACTACATTCCAGCAATAACGTTTTTGGGTGGCTTCTCAAATAGAAACGTTTTGGTGCAACTTTTACAATGTCTGAGATTAGTAGCAACACTTGATCACAAATAATTGAAGAGTTAAACGTTTAGAAAACAACAAGGGGACACTTTAGCTTGTAGAAAGTTATATTATGCCTACATAGACATATGTCTTGAAGCACTTCACTGTCTTTCAGGGGACGGATGGTTTGGAAGCGGCAATCACTGAGATCAAAGATTGTAAAAATCAAATCCGAGTGAGAGACCGGGAGATAGAAGCCATGATAAAAGACATTAACCAGCTGGAGATCAAAATCAACAATTTACTAGACGAGAACGAAGACCTACGAGAACGGCTAGGTAATTCTCTTAAACCTGCTTATTATTTTAAGATTACCATCATGGATCTTCTCAATTACTGGATCTATAGTTTTCATATCTCATATTGATTTTTCTAAGATTATTATCAGCTCTGACCCTCATTGGGAACATGTTCCCTCACCAGGATTAAATCCAAAGGAAGAACTGGATTTGAGTGAATTTCAGAGATCAAAGGTTTTGAAGCAGAGACAGTACAAAGCAGAGAACCAGGTCTTGCTGAAAGAGGTAACGCTTAACGCTTATCTCTACGGTCTGGCTTTGGTCCGTTATCCCATTTTAAATTTTGTCGGTGACTTTTAACGGGACTCTCCTTAGATTGAGCGCCTTGAGGAGGAAAGGCTCGAGCTGAAACAACGCATTCGTGCGCTCGTTAAGGACAAAGGTGACGTCTTAACTCTAAGATGCTGCATATCAGTTATAGACTTGCATTGTAGCATTATATAATAAAACCTGACAGCACATTTCCTTTTTTTAAGGCATAACGGTAGTCAGTAGTTCACTGCTTGATGACAGTGTTGAAGAAAAGCCCAGCAGATCTCTTAGAGAGAGGCCTGTCTCTGGATCTAACGATGAAGAGATCAAACGCAAAGTAAGCCTTTATCGATGAGTTTTGAACATCATAATCATTAAAGCTAAGCTAACAACCTGTTTGTTTCTCAGAACGAGCATCTACAGAAAGAGCTGAGCAACAAAGAGAAAGAACTGGAGCTCAAGAGAACCGAATCTGCCCAGTTCAAGGCCAAATGTGAGAAGCATCACTGTGACCTTCCAACACTTGCAGTGTCAGGTGGTTTGTGTTACTATAATGTTTCTCTCTCTGCTACAGTGAATGAAATGCTGAACGAGAATAAGCAGCTGGAGCAGGGAATGAAGGAAATCCTGCAGGCCATCCAGGACGCTCAGAAGAAAACACCCACACCCGCTGGCGTCAATATTCCCAGCCTGGAGAGACTCGTCAGTGTACGTTTAGTGGGCCCACGCTGAATCTGTGTAGTATTGCATTATTTTCTTTGTAATATTTAATGAAAATAATTTATATATATATGTGTGTGTGTGTGTGTGTGTGTGAATTATAAAAAAATATTAAGAAAATAATAATAATAATAATACATCATGTTTTTATTTATTTTAATAAATAATAAATATTATAATTATGCATGTAAAATTTGCATTTAAAGTATACATTTAATAAGTAATATAATAATTGAAGAAATTAGACATTCATGTGAAAGATATAATAAATAATGCTTTTATTTTAAAATAATATATAGTATATATTATATATATATTAGTGCTGTCAAATCAATTAATCGCACATAATCAAATGTAACAAGCGTTTTTGTTTGTTGTATATGTGCATTTATATATATATATATATATATATATATATATATATATACACACACACTCACATACATATATAGTATCTCACAAAAGTGAGTACACCCCGCACATTTCAACAAACATTTTAGTGTATCTTCTCAAGGGACAATACCATTGAAATTAAACTTGTATATATTTTAGAGTAATGTGCTGCTTGTATAGCAGTAAATATTTCCTGCCCTCTGAAAATAACTCAACATACAGCCACTATTGGCAAAATAGCTGGCAACAAAAGTAAGGGAACTTGTCAATATTTTATGCGAGCACCATTGTTATCTAGCACTTCCTTAAACTTCCTGGCTAAGGACTTGCACAGCACCAGAGATGCACAGCTTGTTGCTGGGATCCTCTTCCTTTCCTCCCTAATGACATCATGGAGCTGCTGGATGTTAGACACATAGCGCCTCTCCACCCTCAGCTTGATGCTACCACCACCATGCTTTGGCTAGAGTTGGCAAGACACATTGTTCTTGGTACTCCTCACCAGGGTGCCACCAAACATGCTGGACACCATCTGAGCCAAACAAGTTTTACTTAGTCTCATCAGACCACAGGACAGGGTTCCAGTAATTCATGCTCTTGGACAGGTTGCTTTCAGCAAACTGTTTACAGGCTAATCTTGCAGTGAAGTGACATTACTGTTCTTAAATACCCTGTCACAACATATATGAGTGATGAATGTGTTTATCTTAAGGTGTTGGAGATGAAGTACTCGGAGGGAAAGTTTGATGCAAGCCTCCACCTGAGAACGCAAGTAGATCAGCTGACCGGTCGCAATGAGGAGCTACGCCAGGAGTTGAAGGCTGCGAGAGAGGAGGCAGCAAACACACTCTATCAGTTAACGAAAGCTAATGAGAAGGTATTACTCAAAATCCCAACTCAAAAATTTACTGGATTAAAAAATGGTTTTAAATTCACTTTTTTGTCTTTTTTTTTTTGTAGGTTGCTCACTTGGAAAGTGAGGTTGAAGCAATGAGCAAATCAACTGGCACTTCCATCCCCTACAAGACATTAGCTCTGCCTGAAGAGATGACGCCAACTAGTGTCGAGGTCATCAACGCTCTCAATGAATACATAGTACAACTCCTACAGGTGTGTGTCAGTCCGGTTACTGTATTGTGTTATAATGGAAACCAGATGTAAGGTACCTAATATTAAGATTCAACTGTGGATGTTCAGGAGATCAAAAACAAAGAAGATTCCATTGAGCAGATAAGTTCAGCTCTGGAAGAGTATAAAAGGAAATTTGCAGTGATGCGCCATCAACAAGGACTTCTATATAAGGAGTATCAAAGGTATGCCAAGCAATAAAGATCATTTATATTGTAAAATATCATATATAAAAGGGATGTAGAGCCAAAAACATTGTTTATATTGATATGTATATCAATCATACATATGAATGGTAATCAATAAAGCATTGTTTTAATTCATGGTGTCTGTCTGCTCCAGTGAGAGGGAGTCTTGGCAAAAAGAGATGGACTTTTTTGCAGAACTGAAATCCAAACTTGAGGAGCAAAGAGAGGTGGATGTAGTAAAAATCAAAGAGTACAATGTAAGTCTCTAAAACAAAGTCACTAAGTTTCTAATTTGTGTTTCTAGTCCTTTAAATGATTCCCATTATCCATTTGACTCGTTCCCAGCACTGGCTAGAGGCTCTTGAAAAGGACCCAAATGAGATCAAACAGCAGCTGGCTGAGACGGCTCGGAAAACCCTGGTTCTCAGGGTCAACGAGAAGTGTCTGACGCGACGTTACACGACTCTGCTTGAGCTCGAGCAACACTTGAGGAAGGAGAACGGCAAACTGAAGGATGATTTCAGAAACATGGAGGCCGTGGTAACAGAAAGAATTGGCTACCTGCAGAGGTTCAAGGTATCGGGCAACACTCATACAACTCAACTTATGAATGATGGGATTTATTTATTAGAGGCCTACTGATGTCGTTTTTTTGGTGGCCGATACTGATTCTGGTATCTAGAACAGGATTTTGGAGAAGTCCAAATATATATAAATAAATTGTAATAAAAAAGTTATCATTAAGAGAAATTGACATTTATTACAGTTTCTTTCTGCTTACAAATTAATCATTAATCGCAGTTATTTAATTATTTATCATCACATTAATACTCTAATTGTTGGTAGAAAAAAAAATAGAATATTTTTAGCCAGAATATTTTTTGACAAAGAATTTTTTCAGATACCTTAACCAAGTATAGTATTTTGTTTTTCCTTCATATTTCAAATATTTCAACAATATAAAATATTTGCCTCATATTTTGATAGTTTCATTTAATTTGTAGGGTCATGAAAAACAAATCTCCCCTGCAGACATCACTTTTTGACACTACTGTTTATGAAGTATAAAATGTACAGTCAGAAAAATTACTGAAATGAAATAAACACTTTATGAACCCTCAACACAATATTGCCAAATAATAAAAGTCTATAAATAATGATTGTATTTTTAATGACAAATTTAGTTGTTTTAGTATTGTTTTGTTGTTTTTCCCTAGGCTGGTAGTCATCTTCACTGAAAGCTGTAACTGACCTCTGCTGACCCCTGTAAACTTGCTTTGTCCTCAGGAAATGGCAGCGTTTAAAATAGCTGCATTGCAGAAATCCCTTGATGATAGTGTTTCTGCATCAGAGCTGGAGAGAGCCAACAAACAATACACTGAGCTCACCATCAAGTACAGAAACCTCCTACAGAAAGACAATCACCTTGTTCAGAAGACAAACACACTGGAGCACCTAGAGGTACGTCTCTTGGCAAATTACGTAAAGAAATGGAGGTCTTTCTTCATTTTTATTACAGCAATCTCCTTCACTTTCAGAGGGAGAATGTGTCTTTACATGAACGCATTAACTCCATCAATAAAGAGCTTGAGATCACCAAGGAGAAGCTGCACACATTGGAGCAGGCCTGGGAAAACTACAGCACGACTGGTAGACGTCACTGCTAATTGATTAGACAAAAGCAATGTTGAAGCATTGTGAAATATGTCATTGAATGAAAAAAGTTTTCTCTTCAATATAATAAAAGTTGACCTATTTCGGGTGATTCCGGGTGTTCACAGGTGGTGAGAACAGCATGGACAAGGCAGCCAAAGCCCTGGCCAACAGCGAGATTGTATCTGTGTCCAGGCGCATCACCATGCTGGAGATGAAGGAGCTAAATGAAAGACAGCGAGCCGAACATGCTCAGAAGATGTACGAGCACCTGAGGAACTCCCTCAAACAGGTTGAAGAGCGCAACTTTGAGCTAGAGACCAAGTTTGCTGAGGTGGGTCTGATTTATCTCTTGCTTCCATCGCCTAGCATCCACCCTGAATACAACCATATAGAAACATGGCAAAAAACACTTCCAACACCTTAGCTTGAACATTTTATTTTATTTTTTTTATAAAACACAGTATGCTGAGCTTATTAAATAACGTTTTAGTAAGCTTTTAGGTTATTTTAATAAAGCACAGTATGTTGAATATTAAATGTTGAATCATTTTATTTTTTATAAAACACAATACATTTAACCTTAAATACTTTTTTATATTAATAAAACAATATGTTGTACACTAATGTGCTTCTATTTTATTTGAATAAAACAAATAAAACATTTAATAAAATATTTAAATATTTTAAAACAACTTTTTTATTTGTATTTTTTTAAACAGTATGTTGTTCTATTAATAAGCTTTTATTTTATTAAGCATTATGTTGAATATGTAATATTGTAAAAACCATATGTTGTACATTAAATGCACTTCTATTTTATTTGAATAAAACATTTCATAAAACGTTTAATAAGCTTTTGTTTTGTTTTAGTGAAACAACTTTTTAGTGAAAAAAGAATATTTTGTTCTTTTAATAATCTTTAATTTAATTAAATTTTTGAACTTTAAATAGGCTTTAATTTAATTTAATTTCCTTTATCATCACTTTTACTTTATTTGATTACATTTTTTTATTTATTTAATTCGCTAAATTTAATATTTTGCATATATTTCTGTATGGCGGTGTAGCTCACAAAACTAAACCTGGAGGCTCAGCGGATAGAGCGGGAGCTCAGGGACGAGCTGGCGGACAGTGTAAGCAAACAGATCAGCGACGCCGATCGCAAGCAAATCACCGAACTGGAGAAAACTGAAGCAGAGCTGCGGATTGAAGTGTCCAAGTAAGCCTGTGGACTCAACCTGTGCACATGCTTGCTATTTACAATACAACAGTATCACAGGGCTCTCAAGTGTCACACATTTCAGTCTTTTGTCACGCACTCCCGCCACACATTGTATTTTCTCGTGCTGGAAAAACTATTTCTAATATATTTAATATGCCGCAGCACACAAAATGTCTCTGTCCGCGCCGCTCTCACTATGCCGGCAGTAATCAAGCGTGTCTCCTCTAGAGTTCTTAGTCGAGCCTGCCACCTATCAGCCAATCAAAAAAAAGAAAGGGGCTACACAATAGCTAATCAGAAAATAGGACTATTGTATCTGGATAAGATTCAAGAAAAGTCAACTCCTGTTTTAATGTTACAAAAAAATCATCTTGACATCTTGACTGCTGTTGGAGAAAGTTTCCCAGATAAATAGCATCATTAAACAGCAAATTACAAATAATAGCAAATTACAGAGTGTCTGTAATTTATCCAACAGTTTTACACCATGTTTACTGACAACACCTATCACACAAACTACAAAATATTACACTATTACTCATCCAAGTCATAGAATTATGCAAATTTAGCAACCGAATTGCACTTGGTATAAAAGAGTTCTCTTATTGGAGAAAGTTTCCCAGATAATTAACATCATTTTTTCATGAGTGGCTGTAATTTATCCAACAGTTTTACATCCTATTCACTGACAACACCCATCACTCTTGCCTTTCTTTAAAACTTGAGAGACCTGGTATTATGAGCAAATGTACACAAACATCTGTTGTAAGAGAGTTCAGTTCCAGTTTATTATCGCCTAAGGGAAACTTGTTTTGCAGCCAGGTAAACATACAGGTCACACAACAGGTAAACACCACATTCAAATACCAATATACAACACAAACTACTAAATAAAAAACTATAACACTATTACTCATCTAAAATCATAGAATTATGCAAACTTGGCATAAAAGAGTTCTTAGTCTTATTGGACTTAAAACAAGGTAAATCTCTGACCTGAGGAGAGAACAATGAAGGGCATGATTTACACAGTCCAATATGACATCTGCTTTCCTCATAACCTGCCTCTCATAAATGTTTGTCAAAGAGACCTGTGGAGAGCCAATTAACTTACCGGTTAACTTACAGTACCACCTTCACAATGTGGCCCCCACACCAGGCAAAAAATGCAAAAGTAAGAACGGATTCGATAAAAAGATTCATAAAATAAAGACCGCATAGCTTTATCAACATTAAAAGAGTTAAGCTTCCTTAGGAAGTACAATCTTTGTTGTCCTTTTTTGCAGATCATCTCTGTGTTCATGTCAAATTTGAGTTTACTGTCTATCACAGTCCCCAAATATTAGCACCTTTATACTGATTCCTTTTATGTAGGTGGGTAGAGGAGAACCAGGTTGATTTCTCCTAAAATCTATAAGCATATCCATTTACAGGTGTTAGGCTGTATAACCAAGGATATGCTTATAGATTTTAGGAGAAACTAACCTGGTTCTCATTCACTCAAATCAACCCTTTTAAAATGTTTGCAGACTGAGGGAGGTGTCCGATGTCGCTAAAATGCAGGTGTCCGCTCTGGAGGCCAGACAGCAGTCGAGAGAGAAGGAAGTAGAAAGCCTGAGGAGACAGGTGTTGGATTACCAGGTATGTTTTTCTCTTCTCAGCTATGCACCCTTTAGATCAAGCCACTAAATGCACATCTCCTCTTCAGGCTCAGTCCGACGAAAAGGCCCTCATCGCCAAACTCCACCAGCACATTGTAGCTCTCCAGCTGAGCGAGACCACAGCAATCAGCCGGCTGGAGGCCGCCAACACGCGCCTGCAGAAACTCGAAGCGCAAAAGCTCCGAGTCGAACAGCAGCTGGATGCCCAGCAGCAGACGCTGTGGCACGCAAGGCAGGAGGGGCATCAGCGGGCAAGACACCTGCGCCACACCATTCAGGCCCTCCGCAGACAGTTCTCAGGAGCCTTGCCACTGGCCCAACAGGAGAAGTTTTCCAACACCATGCTCCACCTGCAGGAGGACAGGGCACGGGCCAGGGAGGAAGCGCAAAAGGCGGCGGAGGAAAGAAGGAAAGCAGAAGGGAAGGCACAAGAACTGGAGCTAAAGCTGAAGGGGTTGGAAGAGCTCATAGCAACACTCAAAGATGCTAAAGGAGCGCAGAAAGTAGGTTGATTGAGTTGTGATGTGATTCTTGAAAACATATTTTCTTAATTATAATGAGAAAAAAATAAATCTCATTATTCATATATTTTTATATCTTATATCTATTCAAGTTAAAGGAAATTTTTCCCATAAACAGTAATTTACACTCAGCTGCAGAATTTACAGCTTAATATCAACCCCTACAGGTGATCGAGTGGCATAAGAAACTGGAGGAAGTACGTCTGTTGGAAATGAGGCAGAGCAGAGAGCTTAATACCCAGCGGGAAGAGATAAAATACTTGAAGAACATTATGGCGGAGCAGGAACGCACCATCAGCGGCCAGGAAGAGGAGCTGGTGCAGCAGAATAATGTCAGTATTGCATTTAAACGGGTTTCTTCTCTATTTTTGAGCATACTTCAATCATGATTTCTAATTATATTTATTATCCTTGTATCAGCTTCTTGAGGAGCGGCAACTAATCTGGGATCAGAGAGAGGTGCAACTGGAGCGCCAGCTCGACTCCTATGAGAAACAGCAGAATGAAATCCTAAGCACAGCTCAGAAGGTGGCAGAACTGACAAACATTTGTTTCTGGATAGTGATAAGCTGTTTAATAATCTACAATTTAACTTACACCTAACTTGTCCTGTTTGAGTTTAGTTTGAGGAAGCCACAGGCTCTCTGCCGGATCCAAATCAGCCTTTAGCACACCAGTTAGACTACGCTCTTGGAAAAATCAAAGAGCACGTTCGTACCATCCTTGAGACAAAAGCCACCTGCAAAATTCTGGAAGAGGTACTTTTTTTATTCATCAAGTGATTTTGGAAATTTTACCAATTGCAAACCTTGTTAAGTAAGATTATTTCTCTGAGCAGAAGCTGAAGGACAAAGAAGCTGCTTTGTGGACATCAGAACAGAACGTCTTATCTCGAGACAAAGTGATCAATGAACTGAGGCTTCGGCTCCCAGCCGCTGCTGAGAGAGAGAAGCTCCTGGCTGACCTGAGCAAACAAGAGGACTCTGAGAGCCAGCCCACCCTAAAAGTCGCCCACCAGACCATTAATAACTTACAAGGGCGCCTGGATCAGAAAGAAGAGGTTCTCAAGAAGTACCAGAACATGTTAGCAAAGGCTCGTCAGGTGCCTATTTAACTTAAAAACTGAGGCATCATAAACTGGTGATCTTTATTGCACAATAAAATGCATAAAAGCTCATATATCTTGATTTTATATTTTCCCAGGAGCAGGAAGAGATTGGCAAAAAGCATGAGGAAGAGGTCAGGGCTCTGCATCAGAAACTGGACGTGTATATGGACACATCGCTGGACTGTTTCAAACAGACAGCTCTGGTACCTAGCGTATTCATTATAAAGCTCAATGTAGGATATCGGGCCAGAAAGTAGAAACTAGTGCACAAAATAAATATGGTAATGTCATAAATCATGGCTGCTGTCAACTTTAGCAGGCTATACTCAGTTTTATTCTTCTCTAGGAGCTAATGAAGAAACCCACCCTCACCGTACCCACCAATAAGCACTTGGTGCGGTTGGCAGAAATGGAGCAGACGGTAACTGAGCAGGACAATTCGCTCTCCTCACTGACACACAAGCTGAGAGGGGTCATTGCAGAGCTGGACCAACAGAGACAGCTGGCAGCAGCACAAGCCATTGAACATGCTGCAGAAACTTCCAGGTGAGACATTAAAACAAGGGTCCCTATTTTAATGATCTAAGCGCATAGTCTCAAGCGCCCCGTGGTAATGCACTTAGGTCTGTCTCAATCCACTTTTGCTAGTTTAATGATGGGAAAAATGGCTGTGGTATTTACGGAATTTACGTGGTGGATCTGCTCGTGTGCGCCATCTACGGGACAAGCCGGATTCCACCATATCTTTATGTACAGAATATAAATCTTTTACATTGTAATCCTTTTATTTGTAATATTTGGCTAGTTTGTGTGCTGCTGCGTGTCCCTTTGTGTGTAATAAGCAGAATGTACGCCTGTTGTGCTCCAGCCTATAGGCGCATATTACTAATGCACCCTTTAAATAACAAAAAGAAATACTGTGCCATTGACTTTAGACCAGGTTTTTGTTGGTCAATGGCACAGTCTATTTTAGTTGCCTCCAAATAGAAACGCGCCAACGATGCGCCCTCATGGGCGAACAACTAGGTGCAAATGCATTTGCTATTTAAACAAAATGGTGCAGGACATGAAAACAACTGCGTCAGGGTGAAACTAACAAAAAACACTTGCGTCGTGTCTGGTGCCGTTTTGCGGCGGTTGTGTGATAGGGCTCAAGCCCAGAAACAATGTTGATCAATATCAAGATATTTATTCCTCATGCCACTTTTAATGGTCTTTCATTTCCAAGACTGGAGGAGAGACATGTTGCCCAAATGAAGGGTCTGTCGCAGGAGGCAGAAGAGCTGAGAACTCAGGTCGTTCAGATGGAAAAAGAGCTGCATTACCTCCGTACGGAAGTAGAGGCCCAGAAAGAGGCCAATGTCAGATCACCATCAAACACCATGAAGAACCTTGTGGAGCGGTTGAAGACACAGCTGGCACTCAAGGAGAAACAGCTGAAGGTACCACACAGTGGACAGCTAGTGTAAATGTGCAGTCAGATTTACTGTTTATCGGTGAATTTCATGGGTGAAATAGTCATTTCAATTGAAACCCAGGCTGTTGGGAATGTTTCTTAAGATCCCCAATGACACTGGGCCAAAATTTAGTGATATCACCTTAATTCTTCTGGATAGGTTTTTCCACTGTAATGTTTGAAAGTGGCTAAGATAAGAATTCGGTTCCTCATCTGCAGGCTCTCAGTAAAGCTCTCTTGGAACTTCGTGGAGAGTTGACATCTCAAGCAGAACAGCAGATCATCGCCAATGCTGCTCAGAAGGAAGAGGCCCTCAATGTTCAGCAGATCGTTGACAAGCAGACCAAGGAGCTAAGGGTAAAAATAAGGAAGAAGCCTAAATTCCTACCAGCTTCTAAAATGGAAAAGAAAATGATTCCCTTATCTGTTGTCTCAATACTTTACCTGGCACATATGTCATTTTGTAGAAGCTCACCAAATTGCAAGGTAAAAATCAAGATATAGTTTTCATGGAAGATTAGGAGGAGGGTGACTTGAATTAATGTATTATCACTTCATTAAAAATACAAATTGATCTGAATAAATCACCTTCAAAAACCAATAAAACAATTTATTTAGTTAATGATTAAAACGTTCGCTAAATGTAACAATAAAAATATATTGCTCATAACTTGTTTTAAATGTTTAAAATTTAATTTTAAAAAGCACTGGCCTGTTGCTTGTATTAGTCAATCAAGTTTAAAAAAATTATGCCATAGGACAGTTAATTGATGGGAGCAACCAATAAACTTTCAACTTTCTGGTTTTTAACACGCCATTTTAAGATACTGAATTGTACTCCAAACCTAACCAAGCAATTATTTATCCCCGTGTTCCTCATCAGGCATGTGTGAGGGACCTTAATGAGGAGCTCCAGCTGGCTAAGGATGGCGTACGAGCGGCAAAAGCCAGAGAAAACTCGCTGAAAGAGGAGCTGGAGAACTTGAACATGGATCTTCAGAGGAGCCAAAAATCACATAACAAGTTGCAAAGTGAGAAAGAGGCTCTGGAAGATCAGCTGAATGAGCAGAAGAAGAAGGTCCAGAGGCTCAGCAGTGGCCTACAGGTCAGACTGCATGTTTTTCCAATCCAGAGAGGTTCTTTACCCTTAGTCACTTGTACCATAAATGTTCACGGTCTTAAAATTCCTGTCTCGCTGATCTTGAGAGTAATCCTACCAGCAGCTCAGAGCATTTGGACAGTGAGTCATCAGCCCTCTTTTCTCTGCAAACGAAGAGCTTCTGCTCAATGTCTGGTTGAACAGAGCACTTCTTTGACGGCAGTGAATACGTCTAGACACCATTGTGTTGCTCCTCGCTTTTACTCCTATTGGAGTTTGTGGTCCTTGGGAAGAAAAATAACAGGGGCTTTAATTATATGTATAATTATAGTCCTCTTCACCTTTTAAAGTAAATAAAGTTATACTTTATTTATATAGTACCTTTCAACTGTTTACAAAGTGCTTAAAGGGATAGTTCACCAAAAAATGTGAATTTACTCGCCGTCATGTTGTTCCGAAACTGTTTGAGTTTCTTTCTTTTGTTGAACACAAAAGGAGATATTTTACAGAATGTTGGTAACCAGACAGTCGACAGTAGCCTCTTCAAAAATATTAAGCATCACAACTGTGTGTAACATCGATAATTATGAGAAATGTTTCTTAAGCACCAAATCAGCATATTAGAATGATTTTTGAACATCATGTGACACTGAAGACTGGAGTAATGATTCAGAAAATTCAGCTTTGCCATTACAGGAATAAATTACATTTTGAAATGCATTCAATTAGAAAACTGTTATTTTAAATTTATAATATTTTACATTTTTAATATTACTGGTTTACTGTATTTTTGATCAAATAAATGCAGCCATATGCCAAAAACAATTTGAGAAAGAGAGAAAGAAAATACAATTGTCAGAGCAAGAATAAAATAAGAGTCTAAAATAATAAATAAATGTGACTTTTCCCACAACTATATATCAGAGCTGATGATGTATGTGTGTTTTGGTGTTTGTGTGTGCAGGCTCAGGCAGAGAGTGATGGACCCACAGTAGAGGCTCTTCAGAAGAAGATTCGTAAGTTAGAGCAGGAGCTGGACAGGAAGTATATCTCGGACCCTACAGACAAGAGGAGCGTACTGAAGGAGGACAAGGTGAACTAGAACTGCATTTACTATGGGGAAAAATTCAGTTAGGCAGTTAAAGATTAATCAATTGCAGAAAAATGTGTGGAAAAACCCTAAAGAAACCTTTATATCGTTCAGTGGTAAATACAGTAGTCAACATTTGAAGTGGATCAAAACCTTTCATCAAAGTTATACATGAATTTTGAACAATACCCGTTCTTGTCTTAAGACAACTTTGATAAACTTTTTTTGTTTGTTTGAACTCTTATGTAATCTTTGCTGATATATTGACATATTAATCATGTATGAGTCTTTTATTTAAATCTTAGTTATTTCTATATTTGCAGTCTGCCAAAGAAGAAATTGTGAGGTGGGAGGAAGGTAAAAAGTGGCAGGCCAGGGTGGAGAAAGTGCGGAACGTTCTCAAGGAGAAGGAGAAAGAAGTGGATTCTCTGTCTAAACAATTATCAACGATCAAGGAACTTTACAGCAGGTCTGTGCCATGAACACTAATCCATCCACATAATGGACAGTTTCAAATGATGCATTAAAAGTTTGAGGAATCTTAAATAAATAAGACCTACATGTATGCAATAGATGTGAGCTTAACTTTACCATTTATTAAAAGCAAGAACAAAAGTTGAAGATTTCCACATGTTTATGTTGGCTGATGTCCATGAAGGTTGGAGCAGGAGAAGTTGGGTCTGCAGAGGAAACTAAAGGGTAGAGGAGTGACCGCAGATCAGGTCGTTGGTGCACGGACCCTTGAAGCTGACAGAGAGACTGAAGAACTACATAAAAGAAACGTTGAACTGGAGCAGCAAATCAAAGTCATAAAGTGTGTTCCAAATTGTGCCCCTTTGTATCAAAGCAGTATGTGCAATTTATCTATATGCTTGATGAATGTTTAATATGTATGGTTGGTTTGAAGGCAGCAGCAGGCTTTACCCCGTGATGCTGCAATGGAGGATATCATCATCAGGAACCGATATCTTGAGGAGAGGATTCACTCCCTGGAAAGTCAACAATCCAAAGAGTCTCCATCCAGACCATCTGTAGGTGCAACACTTTCAATCTTGCCGTCTTTTAACACTTTTTCATGAATTTCACTCCACTAACATCACTCTCATGCTTCCTCTCAAACACGTTTCCTTCTCCATACCTCTATTCCCTTCAACGATAATGAAGGACAAACATCTGACATCGACATCTCAGCTCAGTTCTTCATCAAAAGTTCGTTCTTTGACTTTTGATGTTAGTGATGCTGAGCAATCTCAGTCTCCAGTATTACATGACACAATCCCTGGATCAACTGAAATTGAAAAGGAAGCAGCAACTCAAACTTTCTTCAGAAGTGCAGCAGAAGTGACTCGAAATGAGGAACAGAACAAGGAAAATTGTGTTGTTGATCTACAACCAGAAGATGTGGTGAATGAAGTCGAAAAAGAGGAATCTGTTGAGGAAGAAAAAAACGAACCAGATAAGGCTCAAGGAGGACAAGATATAGTAGTTTCGGAACATGCACTGGAAGAACTGAAGACTAATAGAGAGACAGAAGAGATAAAGTCAGGGCTGACACATCAAGAAAAGGCTTTGGAAGAAGATCAGCTGGAAGATAAACTAGCTGATAATGGACACACACATGCAGAAGAAATGTTGGACAACAGTAGGACTCACACAGAGCCAGAGACTTCAAAGGTACAACTGGAGGATTATCCACAAGACAGAGATAAGGAACAAGAGCCTGAAGAACAACAGATTGAGATCACAGAGTCTTTAAAATCTGAAGATGATCCAATACATTTGAAAACATCTGCAGAGGTTGAGGAAGAAGAAACGGTGAAGAAAACAGAAGAAGAAAACAGCGGTTCAACCACATTTGATGCCAAACTGGTGCCTGAAGAACCAACAATGGAGGAGACCATGTCCTTCATACCAGTGGAAGATGTGGACCCTATTTTAAGTGAGGATTTGAAAGGTTCCTCCCCTAAAGAGCTGAACCCTGATCTGAATGATGTTGAAAGTAAACTTGATGTCTTGGATATTCTGCAACCTGTAGAATCAGCCTTCACCGACTTTCATGACAAGGAGCAAACAATGAAAAGCACAGTGAAAGCTCGAAAGGTACTTGACGCATAGGAGTTCCCACTCAAGTTCTAGCAAAAAGCTTCCAGTTGTCCGTCCTATAGCAGTGTTGGCTTTGAGCTTGTGACTTTCCAGACCCGGAGTGTCTGCTTTTGTCCCATAGCAACTTTGTCTTTGTATTGCACCCTCTCCATCTTGCATCAATTTTTTTTTGTTTTTGTTGTATGGGCGTTATTTAGATATGCGTTTTCTATGGCTTTAACATCTCTTTGTTGTTTCTGTAGACGTCTGGCCGGGGTTCTGGTACCCCATCTCAAAGAGAACATGAGTTCCAAAAAGAAAACCTCAGGTTGTCCTCTGAAAACCTTGAACTTCGTTTCCAACTGGAGCAAGCAAACAAGGACTTGCCTCGATTAAAAGTACAGTCAAATCTAAATTATTAATAGCATGTTAAAAAATAAAAAATATACATTTAAACCACCTACCAACTGCATAACATAATTTAACCTGAATTACTAATCAATTTGTTGTACTTACTTTCCTCTTCCTGTAATGAAAGGATCAGGTGTCCGACCTCAAAGAGATGTGCAGTGTTTTGAAGAAGGAGAAAGCTGAAGTGGAGAAGAGACTCAGCCATATTCGTGGGGTTGGTAGAAGCATGTCTAAGCTCTTAAAACACTGATCCTCTCATCTCTCTTATTCATATTTGTTGCTCCTCCCATACAGTCTGGCCGCAGCGGGAAAACCGTACCCGAGCTGGAGAAGACTATCGCACTGATGAAGAAGGTAGTGGAGAAAGTTCAGAGAGAGAATGAGAGCTTGAAGAAGACATCAGAAGTCAATGTGCGTGAGCAGCTTGCAAAACTGGAACAGGACCATGTGAAACTTAAGGTACATTTTGTGAACATCAATGACACACTGCCATTTACAAGTTGGTAAGATAGTTTTGAAAGAAGTCTCTTGTGTAATTTATTTCTGACTTTTCTACATCATTACTCCAGTCTTCAATGTCACATGATCCTTCAGAAACCATTCTAATAAGATCATTTGCAGCTCAAGGAACATTTCTTATAATTATCAAATTCGAAAATACTTAAAGGGATAGTTCAACCCAAAATGAACATTTGCTATTTTAGTAAATAAAAGGGCCCTGATGATACTTCGAGGTCTTATGATGTGAAACAATGACAATTTTGTGCTGTTTAATTTGTGGAAACAATACAAGATTGTGATAGTTTTGTTCAAGTACATCATTCTTTTCTACATTCTGCAATGTTGTTTGTTACAGTCAGAATATGAAAAGCTGAAAGGAAAACAAGAGGAGCAGCTAAACGCAAGACTTGAGTCAAAAACCAAGGGCATTGAGAAAATCATGATGGAAAATGAACGCTTGCGTAAAGATATTAAAAAGGTAATCATTTCCATTACCTTCATGTATAAAACTTCCATGTATGTGCCCTTAATACATCAATTAATACAAGATGCATGATTTTTTTGGTAAATTGCAGGAAGCAGAAGCTGTAGAAAAGCTGAGGGTCGCAAAGGCCAGTCTTGAAGTAACCAATGAGAAACTAAAGGCGGAGCTCGAGGAGACCAATCAGAGTCTGTTATTAGCACAGTCAAAGGCGTCATCTATAGAGACGGGAGAAGGCAAACCCGGGAAATCTTCAGTTGTGGCTAGGTAGGACATTCACTTGAGTATTACTTTATCAATTACATATTCACGTGTGGTCATTATTCAATTTTTCCTTCACAGGTTATTTGAAAACAAGATGAAAGGTCTTGAGAGTGAAATCGCTAAGAAAAACTCCAGCATATCAGAACTGAAGGTGCAGCTAAACGAGGCTAATGAGAAACAGCATGCCACAAAAATCGTTGTCAGCCAGCTGAAGGAACAAGTGAGACACTGATCTGTATAATAACACTATAATACAAGCTGAAACACACCACAGGTTTTTGACCTCATTTGAGGGCAAAGGGGACTTTGAAGTTGTGTTAATGTGTCCTTTTGCAGTGTGTCTGGAATTCGTCAAATGGATTTTTGACTGTTTTATTTCCTGTTCTGGTTTTAAAAGCTGTGTTTAACATGCGAACATCGCCTAATAACCTAATGTGTATCAACAGGTGGAACTTCTTAAAAATATCCCAGTGGATTCGACCACTGACAAAGGACTTGCCAGAGAGTTTCAATCAGTGAGGTGAAGCACTCAACAGGCAGAATATCCATAGACTTCAAAATACATAAAACAACTCAAAACTCATTCATTGCCAAATGTCACATTTAGATTTGCCAATAAACAACTTGAGAGAGAGAAAGCTCAACTTCTTCGACAGATCCAAAGGTACGATGAGCAGCTTGGGACCAGCAAAGTAGGACCAGGTAAGATCACCATTGATTAAGAATTACATATTATTGTACAACAACATGATGCATATATCATCATCAGCTTGGTCCCCGTTTTGTAGGATTCAATGAGCTCCAGGAACAAATTAAAGCCGCAAATACCGAAAAAAAGAAATTACAGGTATTCCTAAATAACAATCTCTAAATAATCAGCTTTTTTAAACCAAGTCACATTCTAAATGCTTTCATTTTAGGATGAAGTAAGGAAACTAACCCAAGAGCTAAAAAGCTTTGACCCGACATTTTTCGAGGAACTTGAGGATCTTAAATTTAATTACAACGAGGAGGTGAAGAAAAACATCATCCTAGAGGAACAGCTGAAGAAGCTGTCGGATCAGTTTGGTGTGGCGATTCCTGTAGACGTGTCCATCAGCTAACAGACATCAGATCAGATTTTTCAGGTCAACAGATTTTATTGCTACAGCTTATTTAGAGCCAAATATGTACATGTAACAATAGTGCAATTAATTAAGTTGAAATGTTTTATAAGTAGATGTTTATTTATTTTTTTTGTCTAATACTAAAACGTTTTCATACAAAGTTAGGTTTTACAATATTTGTGGCCTTACTAGCAAGAACTGAAACTAAAAGGTTTTTTTTTTCTTTTTGCATGAATAATTATCCACCACTGCCTCATTTATAAGACCCCTTAGATGTAATAAACATCAGTTTGCTTTGTTTATTTATATACATATTACTGAACGTCCTCTGAAACCTATTTAAACAAAAGAAAAACTACCATTCTCTAAAAGAAAAGGAAAAAGTGCAAAATATAAAGCAATCACAGCATTTGCATACATCACATTCCCAAGTGCAAATATGTGCAAGGTGTCAATGAGAATTCAGAACAGGCAGTTTTGGCTAATATTGAGTGTTGGGAAACCTTCACTCTGGTTTAAACCAGATGTAGTAGGAATGTTTGGTAGTTATATTTTATAGGATCAGGGTTCAAACTGAATATCCTGTAAGCAGCTGAAGTGTTGTCCATTTATGTTGGAGAATGATTTGAACAAATCCTTCTTGGAAGCATCTGGATCACATGTTGTTTCATCAACGTGGACGACCACAGGTCTGGTGTTCAGGAAAGCGTCACCAACAGGCCATTTCAGACCGAGATGATGGCGGTGTATCTGAAGATAAGATTTAACATGGTTTAATCCAAAGAAAATGTGGATCATGGCAACAGTAGCAGAATGAGGTTTACTTAGGCCTTATCCACACTATCACATCCACACTGAGGGACTGTTAACACGATACTGTTTTCAACTAAAAACAGAAAACTTTATGCCATAATATTACATGATAATGGTGTTTTGGGCGCCTAAAAACACAAACCGTTTCAAAGTGCAAACAATGACGTCGTGCACATGCGTATTAAATGTTCAGTCTGTAGTTTTTCATCGGCATCTAACGGCCTGGCGGCAGAAAACAGGCTTTTTAGATCGTTTGACAATGGTGTCATTTTTATCCTGTGAAAACCGAGCTTTTTGAAAAAGTTTTCCCAAGTGGATAAATTTGTAGTGTGGACAATGAAAACAATGACGCATGTTCCTTGGAGCCCACTAATTATCGCAGTCCTCCAAAAATGACAGAAATGTACTTGCATTTGCTGTCCTGCGACAAAACATCAGCGCAGTCGTGTTATAGACCAAATATATAATGGAGAGCGAGTGCAACCTGGCCGGCGTTTCCAACGTTTCAGTGTGGACGAACTTTTGGAAAACGCTGTTTTCAAATATATCCAGATTAATGTAGATGTAGCCTTATAAACTCTTTGTTTACCTTAACCAGTGTCCCGTTATCACAGTGCCAAACAATTCCCTCCACTTGCCCCTCTTGGCATTCCTGAAACCAGGAAAACAGCTGCTGGAATTCCACTGGAGGAGCGTTCCTGATGCGCAGGATCCCGTGAGGCACCAAAACATGGACTGGGTGCTTCTTACTTCCCAAACCTACAAAATCCCACAGTCAGTTGCTTCCAAACCCAACAGGATTCCAGTTGGTTTCTTACTTCCTAAAACCCTTACACTACCATTCAAAAGGTTTTTGAAAGATATTATTACTTTTATTTATCAAAATTTCAAACACTTCTGAAAGAAAGTGTATCTCAGTTTCATGAGTAAAATACATTGCAATAGAAAACATTTATTATAATTTGAATTACTATTTACAATTACTGTTGTATTTTTGATCAAATAAATCCAGCCGTAAACATAAAAAGACTTATTTCAAAAACATTAACCCCAAACTTTGAACGTTTATACTTGCCATATGGATTTCCGTTAACATTGGTCCCGATAAGTTCAAGGGTTTGCTCCATGAGGTCAGCCAGAGGAACACTGACAATTTCAAGCAATCCTTCATCGTCCCCATGTGTCTTCAGGACAAGGGCAACACCAACATCATAATTGACCACAGAGGCGTGCCAGCAATACTGCTTGTTGGTTTGATCCACCGGAACCCAACCTTCATAACAAAGAGAAATGACTACTATGCCATCAGCTGCCTTTATTTTCAAGTATAACATTGCAACAAGAAGATGAGAAACAAGAGCGTGTTTCAGAGACACCAACCCACCGGGTATGTGTCCATGTTCGTCAGGCACTGGATGGCCATTCTCATGCTTGACTCTGTGAGCAGCGATCCAGGATTCTGGGACGTCTCGGAAATCTTCATCCGTGTTCCACACAAACCCTGTTATTTAAAAGAGAATCAAAAAATATCTGACGTTTAGCTCTTTTCATTCTCATTCACTGCTATGAGACAGTTTCTTGTTAGCCAGTGAGTGAAAATAACATTATTGTGTTCTAATATTTATACAAGAGAAATGGCGAGTCAAGGTTAATTTAGAAAAAAATCTCAAATAAAAATGATTTTTTTAGACCGAAATACCTTTATAGGTCTTCTGTGAATACTGATACTTTTTGAATCTCTTGTCTGCCTGCTTGGTGGGTTTCCGATCCAAGCGAGCCCAGAGATAAGGTTCCCCTTAATAAAAAAATAATTAAATTATTACTTTTATTCAACAAGGACAAATTAAATTAGCCAAAAGTGACCGCACTGTTCTTAGACATTGATAATGATAAGAAATGTTTCCGGAGTACAAAAATCAACATATTGAAATGAACTCTGAAAGAAGTTAAGATTCAGCTTTGCTATCACAGGAATTACATTTTAAAATAGAAAAGTCTAATATTTTTATAATACTACTGTATTTTTGACTAAATAAATATCGCCACAGGTTACGACTCGTTTATGAGCCAGCTTCTACCTTTGTATGTGGTGACGTAGCAGCATGTCCCATCAATCTTCTCAGTTGCTTCAGCACAGTGAATCCCTGAGGCAAGAGCAGTAGGATGCACTTTCTCAGTGGCCACCACCTGGAACTGCTGTACGAGAATAAGAGAACCAGAGGATGTACAATCTAATAATAATCAATTCAATCTATTGCATGATGATGATATTTTATGTGATTACATAGCACGTTCAACCCGTTGATATAGCTTCAACTGAGTGCAGCTTCTCCCTTCAATGCACCGACTAAAATATGCATTAAAATAGGTATGAAAATGCATTTACAATGGTTATAGGGGTTTGGTGATGAGACAACATGTAATGTAACAAAATTGCAGCTGACTTGACCAGCTTACCCACCTGGCAGTCGCGTTTTCTCGATGGTTCGTTTCTCACTTCCGTCAGGAAAACGCATGGGATTTTCTGTTGCACTGAACCCAGACGCCTCCGCATTATAACCGCTGTTAATCAGCTTTAATAAGGGGTGTGTTGCTTTACAAACTGAGTGTGGACTGGTGAGTTCAACACATTTTCACATCAGCCTAACGAACAGAACATGCGCCTAGTGCTACTATTTTGTTCAGATTTCCTCTTTCTGTAGAGTTAGCTAAGTTGATTTTTGTCGCCATCTATTGGAACGGAGAGTAAACGGTTTGTTTTTATATTGAGCAGGTTTCAAGTGAATGAAAGCCCGTTTCTGCCTCGGACCGAAAAAAAGGTAATTGCAACTTTTTGATATTTTATTTTTAAAACCGTTTTACATTTACATTTAAATAAACGAAGAAAGATTTAAATAAAACGTTTTCATCTACATGGATCGGGTCGTCACATGGGGGCGCCATTTTGAGATTCACTGACTGAAAAAAATCTAATAATAAAATACTAGATAAAATGAATCAGATGAGCTTTATGCTTTCTTACGAAATCATGCAGGTCCTTTTTGTGAGCTGAATGTGGAGATAGACAAGCTTCTCAATGAGTCTGAAGGTAAATATAGCCATTTTCAATTCGATATTCAGTAATAGATGTAATAAGAAATAAAGTGTTAAATTACTCTATTCTAGTCAGTAACCACCGTACACTCGCACGAGGGATAAATGTCATTTGATATTTTGACTTCATGCTCCATCATTTCAGTTTTGAACTCGAGATAAAAATATCCATTTAAGTAAACATTTAACCTGCATAACTGAGAAGAACTCATATTCCCAGGCATATTTACAATCCTAACTTAACATAATGTAATAAAAGTTTGTTTTTATAACCTGTCCTCCAAAATGATTATTGTTAATAAATATCTTTTGCAAACAGAAAGTGTATAAACAATTTAATGCCAATAAATTTAATGACAGCCTCTCAAGAGCAAATGCATGACTTCTCATTAAATAACATTTTATATTACAAAGGCAGAATTGTATCTTCTTGTGCCCTTTAAAAGCACACAATTAAGCCTATAAATATATACACATCTTTACCATTTCAGTATTACAGTTATAAATTTTGTACCATGTAACTTGTTTTAAGCCAGAAAATACCCTATCCAGGCAAAGTGTGCAGTTCCATAGGTAAAGACCAGAGGTGGGTGTATAAAGCACAAGTTAATCAGTATGAACCCACTATGAACTATTTTTTTCCAACTGATGCCAAAATCTATTTGACATCTCCATCAGGCTTCATGCTGAAGGCTTCCAGGCGCTCACTCTCGGGCAACAGGTTGTTGAGACGCTCCATCAGTGGGATGGTCTGGTCGATGCCCATCTGGATGCGTCTCAGAATCATTGACATCTCATTGACCTTTTGGATCTGTTCGGCGTACTTGGCGTAACGCTTTTGCCTCTCCTGCATGATGCTGAATAGCGCCTCCACTGACAGATCCATCTGAGAGAAAAAATTATTTACAGATAGCTTGTAAACAGTATAATTCAGTAGAAATAATGGTGAATACCTCTTTGATCCTCTTGACCAAAGCATTCTGGTCAAAAGCAACAGCCTCCGCACACTGGTGAAGATGATCCTGATATCGGACGCACAGCTGCAGTACCTGTGCGGAATCCAGCTTTTCTAAACAGACAGTGCTGGGGGAGGTTTGACCACTGAGCACACCTAAGACGATGACACCAATATTGGGCCCAAACTGTGATTCATAACATTATGAACTAAGGCTGAATTGAACCAGATTTCATGAATCGATACTCCTAAACATGGTTGTTGTTAGCATCAGATTGGTTGGCATTTGGACTGCTGCTTACCTTTTAGAAGAGGCTGAAAGGTGGGAATTTCCTGTAGCTTTATTACATCCGGATCATTATGGATATTCCGTAATGACTGAGTTCCTTGGGTAACAACTACTATGTCATCCATTTTGGCTCTTTGCTTGGCCGGAGAGTGTACAACTGAAACAACAAGACAGAGCTGACTGACAGGCAATGCTGGGAGAATATACACAACATAAGAAACATCTCCTTTTAAGAGATTTATGTCTATAATTAAAACTGACAAATTACATGCAAGTCCCATGAATAAAAATCAGCTGATATTATGTTTAGTACCTGAAGCACTGAAGTCTGAATGTTTATGTTCAGCATCTCCACTCTGTTCAGCACCCATGGTGCACTTGGCCTAAACACTGCAGAAAAAAAGACAACACAATTAAATATATTACTTATATTATATATTAAATATATTACTATAATACATCTAATAGTGCAATACAGAAGTACGATACAAATATGGTTTTAAAAACTTTAATTTTTAATAATGTTATGATAAATAAACTTAATATGCTTTACTTACCTTGATGTTGTTAGTGGTTTAACGGCTGTCTACGTGTGGCGATTTCATTCGGCTGACCGTTTTATTGAATGAAAGGTCTGCTAATGTGTTACATTGTAGCTTACGTATATTACAAACATCGTGAGATGCCAAAACACAATACTTACTGTATATATAACGAGTACGTTGCTATATTCTTTTAGTAAATAAGGTTAAAATCACTGGGGGTACAAATGAAACATCCGGTTTAATAACATAAGACGCGTGATGATGACGTCATGGATTTGTTTTCTTGTGACCATTCAAGCATGTACAATTTTATAACCCTAGCTAAAATAAAAAGCACTTGCATCTCTCTATTCAACTTACAGAGAAAGCGAGAAGAAAAACAGTATTTGATGTTATAATGATGATTGAAATATTAATTAATTCATGAATAGTTTGCATAGCCAACTTTATATAGGCTACACAAAACTGATAACATCCAAATATATATTTAGAATGATATAAATTATATATTATAATTATTATTTATAAAACAGATTTTTTTTATAGTAAAATCGTGTGTAAAAAATGTTTTAATATCTTCTAAATGTATTAACTAGTCATCATTTTAAAATCAGATTTTGTCTACATTAGTTCGTTTTAAACTTTCATGTGGTGTGACAAATAAGCTTCATTATTAATAATACATTTTTAAAAAATGTATGATTTTTAAAAACTTGTTGATGGTTGGACACCTGATCCCGCTTATCGCAAGACAAGAAATGATTCAATAACGAATGTGTAGATTTATTTAAAAAGCCACCTTTTTTATTAAATATTATAAAATATTAAGAATACTGTGATACTGTTACATATTACATAGCTGGGGAAATCCTTTGTAATGATTCCCCTTTTTGTTTTATTTGTTTATGTATCCAGTTGTCTCCGCTACCTTTTTTTTTATTACGTTTTCATAACACATTCATATTCAAACTGTTCACGTAATTCATTATTTTGTGGATTTATTTAAAAAGCAACCTTTTTATTAAGTAATATAAACACTGTAATACTGTTACATATCTGGGGAAATCCTTTGGAATTCTAATTTGAAATAAGAATTATGAATTTTGCATCTAGAATTTAAGCGTATGATTCTCAACTATCTCATACATTTCTCCATTGAGCAAGAACATGAGCAAGAACCATCGCTGTAAAAATAAATAAATAGGCAAGAACATAACAATGCAGCAACATGCGATTGAGAACCACCCTGGGATCATCAGCCATGTCGGTGAATCGCAATATACCCTGTTTGATTGGCTATTCTGTATGTCAATCATTCTGCCTTGAATGTAACCTGCATTCTGATTGGCCAAAATAAGTGCAACTATTTATCCAAAGATCTTATTGGTGGAAAATATAGGTTAGTGGTCCGACAGTCACACGAAGGAAAGAAAAGTAGGTCAGAGACTGATTCCGTTTGTCACAGTTCCTCACGGACCGGACGTCAAATATCCGAATAAACTGTGATGATCAGCTATTCCTCCGGTAAGTGTGACGTTTTGACTTTTGACAATTATCTCTAGGTATCGCGTAATGCTTATCGATGTGTTATGTGCGGTTTTTTGTCCTCTCGAATATTGATTTCAGTAGGAGGGGCGTCTGTGACATTTCTCAGGTTGAATACCTTAGAACCGATGCAGTTGCCACCACAACAATATCAACCATGGTGTCAGTGATTTAAGTAAGAAAGCCTTCAATCATAGCAAAACGCAGCCACAAAGACACCCGTCATCGATGTCAGGTTAATGATCTGCGTCGCCTTTAAGTCGGTTGAATAGAGGGAGTGCAAGTGTGCTTGAACCTCCTGTGTTGGGTTATCGTTAGTCACTTCAACAGCTACTTGCATTTACATTAAATGACTGCTGTATTCGCCTTCTAAACTGGGGCTCTCGGATCCTTAGTGGCTGGCTGTCTATCTAGGCAGCATTTTGTGAGGCTTAGTATGCTCGCTCAAGTGATGCTTTCTAGGTAGGGTTTGAGTCATGGCTAGCTACATGTTAATCAGTAGCGTCATTGTGCTTCCGATTGTGGTTTACCCAAGTCTGTTTTACTGTGGTTGTAAAAATACCAGTGCAAAGGTTACCAGTTATCGGTGTTTTTTTAACCAGTCCGCTTAAGACATATATATATATATATGTGTGTGTGTGTGTGTGTGTGTGTGTGTGTGTGTGTGTGTGTGTGTGTGTGTGTGTGTGTGTGTTTAAACGCACATAGTGGGGTCGAAAACCCATTAAAAATCTGTCATTTTAAACGTGGAATATTTAAAGGGATAGTTCACTGAAAATGATAATTCTGTCATTATTTACTGGGTTTATATTTGAAAGATCATTTCTGTGTAACCATAAACTATGAATTACTTTTAATATAAATATTTATTATTGAAATGTTGTTAATATATTTATATTTATTATTATTAATGTAATTTTTTTGTGACTTTATATTTTAGTGTAATATTAATATTAAAAAGTAATTAATTCATATCGACAACAAATAGAACTTAAAGAATTTAAAACGTTTAAAACAAATGTGGCAGCTTGTTTATTTGTAAAAACTACTATACCTTAAAGAACAGTTTGCTTTCAGTCATGAATAATCGAACAGGTTATTTTGTGAAAGTGCTGCTTTCATATTGTAAGATGGGTGTGCTGCATTCCTAAAGGACAGCATCAAACTCTCATCATTTGGGCGTTCATCACTATTGACTTCCAGAATTAGTTTTTTTTTTTTTTTTTTTCCTTTAACCACATCTGGTCTTTCTTCCATTCATCCACACGTCAGGATAAAAATCATTTATCCTGAATTTGTCTGTAACTGTAACAAAAAATTGAGGCTCATAATTGGGATGAGTAAATACAGGTATAATGCAAGGGTGGTTTAATATGTATAGTTGGCTTTCGTCAAACTGAAATCATCTTGGATTCAAATACTGAGATAACCTACTTCTATCATTTTTGCTCGTCACTTTCTTCCTCTTTTCTTTTCTACATATCTGGCAGTCTGAAGGCAAGCCCACGCATTCAAGAATAGATCATGTAGAGATGTGTAGAGTGCCGCTGATGCATGAGCTATCCATCTGTATGCTTGAATCAAACCGGTTTTGTTATATACCCAATAACACTGTGTTATTATAACACTATGTGAATTTGAAAAATGACGGATGTGTTGTCGCATGTAAAACTGTGCTCTTGCTCCAGAGTGGGCATTTAAACGGCTGATTGAAGGGTCTTGGTACACTATTTCAGCAGAAAATCCCGTCTGAGCACAGGGAAGTACTGTTTCATTTACCGGCTGGAGAAAACCGGTCTTCTGGTCCTTTCTTTCTGCCAGTTGCGTTTCTGTAATCTAAATGTGGCCTAGATTGCGAGCTTTCCAAGGGTTTCCTGGCAACCAGATCAGGTCATTGATGAAGCTCAGTCATTCCTCCTGCTGTATTTGAGTAAGTGTGGGAGTATGAGCGAGATTGTTTTTCCTCATTTGCTTGTTAATAATATGGTTGCCCAAGCTACCTATTAACAACTTAAAGGGATCGTTCACGCCAAAATGAAAATTCTGGCATCATGTTTTGACCGTCAAACCTGTATGACATTTTACTTTGAGAAACTTCCACCCCATACAATTGAAGTCAACGGGGGTACAAAACTGTTTGGTCAAAAAAAAAAATGGTTCTCAGACAAAGTGAAGTCAGCTATTTTCTATTAATGAATACTAGTCTTGACTGTAACTCATAACCTTAAATGTGACGTCTGTGAAACTGAAATATAGTTTTTGGTTGTTCGAAACCCATTATTTATTTATTTTTCACACAGGATCTTGCCACAGGTGAAATGCCATGTATTGAACACAGCTGATTGACTGAACCTGTGCAGTGAGCATCTTTTGTTTTCTATACACACATTGATATAATTTAGAGCATATTGTTGCCATTTTGAAGAACTGTAATTTTCTTAGAATCTTTTTTTTCCCCCCTGTTTCTCTTAAGATGATCTAATGGCAGACCAAAGAATGGACATCTCCTCCACGATGAATGAGTTCATATCCCAGAGCTCGGCAGATCTCATCAGCAGTTCCATTGGCACCACGGGCATGGACTACACCCGCAAGAGGAAGGGCAGCACCACCGAATACCAGTGAGTAAACTCCTTATAGGATATAGGATATAATAATTTTTTTTGTGCCTTGCAACTAGGTCGGAGCAGTTCCTTATTTTTATTATAATTTTTTTTTTAATAAAAATAATGAAATAGTTACAGAAAATCGTAATGGGGACTTAACTTTTTTTTTTTTTGCTCTAAAAAACGAATAAAATTTTAATGTAATTATATTTTTTTTAATTTTAAATATTTTTTTCCTTAAATATATATAAAATATATAATATATATCACTGATTGTCTTAATTATAAATAATATGCAAGTTATACAATTATTTTATTTGGAAACAGTAAGGTCCCATTAGTTAAATGGTTCATGCATTAACTAACAATGAGCAAAACATTTGTTATAGTATTTATTAGTCTTTGTTAAAAAAAAATAAAAAATGTAAAAAAGCAGCTGTTCATTGTTACTTTATATTAGCTCTGGTCTTTTGATTTTAATAATGTATTTTTACATGTTGAAATTAACATCAACTAAGACTAATAAATGCAATATAAGCATTTTCCTTGGTAGTTCATGTTAACTAATGTAGTTAACTAATGTTAACAAATAAAACCTTATGGTAAAGTCGTGTTACCAATATATAACAGAATGCTATTTTTAAATTTGTATTAAATATGTTTTTATTTTGTTTTACAGAATTGATGGCTTTTCCTTTGAGTGAGTACAATTCTCGCATAAACTTTGCCCAACTGAGGTCATTCAAAATAATTGACATCATTTGTTGTAAAAACTTGTTTCATTGAACTCTGTGGTGCTGTTCATTTTCACAGTGATAGCATGGACACAGACAAAGATAAGACACTGGGAAGGTAAACATTTTACATGCTGTTATCTTTAAATTCACAGTTCAAAATACATAACGAGATTAATACATGAATGATTAGTAATAAATAAATCTTTTCTCCTAAATGATTAAGGGATGAACAGCAGGGCCGGATAAAGAATGCCAGGTAGAGTGAAGATGTGAAGGCTTTTCTCTGCTTAGTTAATATGTTGTATGTAAATGAGATCTGGTGCTTGTATCTTTTCAGCTAATTTTTTTTTTTATTATTAGGGAGGCTCACAGTCAAATAGAAAAGAGGCGCAGGGATAAGATGAACAGTTTCATAGACGAGTTAGCATCGTTAGTCCCCACTTGCAATGCCATGTCTCGCAAGTTGGACAAACTCACTGTACTGCGCATGGCCGTCCAACACATGAAGACATTACGAGGTGAGAGTTTTCTACCACAGCATGGGCCAAAATGGATCTAAATGAGCTCATTATGATTTTAAAAGCAAACTTTTTCCATATTCATTATGCCTGACTTTTCCCTTTCTTTCTTTTTCTTTTAGGTGCCACCAACCCATACACAGAAGCCAACTATAAACCAGCATTCTTGTCGGATGATGAATTAAAGCACTTGATTTTAAGGGTGTGTTTAAAATCTCCAAGGCTTGCGAGATTTCATTATATGGGAAAACTGGTGAGGATCTGTTTTAAATCTCTTCTCCCCCTCTTTCTACAGGCTGCTGATGGCTTCCTCTTTGTAGTCGGTTGCGATCGTGGAAAGATTCTCTTCGTCTCGGAGTCTGTTTATAAAATCCTCAATTACACGCAGGTATGTTTTCTTTACACTGATCTCTTGCTGCTATGCAGTTACGTTCTTGACGTTAACACGAACTGTTTTGTTTTGAACCATCAGAATGATCTGATTGGCCAGAGTTTGTTCGACTACCTGCATCCAAAAGACATTGCCAAAGTGAAAGAGCAGCTGTCGTCGTCAGACACGGCTCCACGGGAACGACTCATCGATGCCAAAAGTAAAGTTTGTTTTATTAAGTGTTTGCAGTCATTTGATTTATGGTTGAGCCAAAGGCTTTTGGACTAATGTTCAGTTCTCTCTGAAGCTGGTCTACCAGTGAAGACTGACATCACTCCCGGCCCCTCCAGACTGTGTTCAGGGGCCCGCCGATCATTCTTCTGTAGAATGAAATGCAACCGTCCTTCTGTCAAGATGGAGGACAAAGACTTTTCCTCAACGTGCTCCAAAAAGAAAGGTATTACTAGCTTTGCAGTTTGTTTGCATGAGTTAAAAAAATCATATGAAATAAAAGGCATATTCACACACACTCACCCATTGGCAACATTATTAGGTACATCTGTTCAACTGCTCGTTAATGTAGATATCGAAGTTTAAACTTCAGTTCATCAGAATAGGGAAGAAAAATTATATTTGAACATGGCATGTTGGTCTACTTCCTGGACTTTGGCTTCGGTACATCTATCGCAGTTTCCATGTTCGTGGATTAAATATATAGGCTATAAACTGTGTATGCACAGCTTTTTAAAAATAGCAGGTGCCTATGTTTCGATCAATGATAGAGTCCAGTCCTTCTGCCATTAGTCTGAAGGTCTAGCTACGCGAGACTAGAACCAACTCTTTCCTAATGTAGTTCCCCCAATGCATTCCTAGAACTAAAATCATTCCCTGTCCCTGCGGTGCGAGCTATGGGAACTATGAAACGGTTCCTCCGGTGCGAAAGCCCCTTTATAGGGATATCTCCACTCTTTTCACACAAGAAGTAGAGAGACGGGGTCACTGAGATAGTGCCCTTTTAACTTCTGCAGAGGTCACATCTCTGGTTTGATGTCCTGGGGACATGCATGTTCATTCATAGAAGGTTTGTCTATTAATTAGTGGAGAGAAGACCTTTTATTGGCTGCCTGAGGACCACTAGTGACCTGGCTTGTGTCAGCAGGAGGAATAAAAGTTTATAATGATCAGTGGGAGACTGGTCTTTTTGGAGCCTATTGGTACCGTTGTTCTTTTAAATACTTCAAATTCATTGCGTCAAAGACTGATGGGTAAATCTCTCCTCTCTACAGCAGACCGCAAGAGTTTCTGCACCATCCATAGCACTGGCTATCTGAAAAGCTGGCCGCCCACCAAGATGGGTTTGGACGAGGATAACGAACCTGATAATGAGGGCTGCAACCTTAGCTGTCTAGTGGCCATCGGCCGCCTCCATCCGCATATCGTCCCTCAGCCCATGAACAGCGACATCCGCGTTAAACCCACAGAATACGTCTCCCGCCACGCTATCGATGGCAAGTTCGTTTTCGTCGACCAGAGGTGAGAAGAGGCCTTTTGCTCCATTTCACATCTACAAGAGTGGTCCGTTTGTGAGATTTGCTGAATGTTTACTGAATCTCTCAGGGCAAACCACTAAGATTTAATATACAGTTTAGTTTACACACTCTGACTTCTTTGGACTTAAGCTTATTCCCCAGAGTAACTTATTCCCTAGGGTTAACTTATTCCCCCAGAGTTAGATAAGTCCATACATACCTTTTCCATTTCCGTGCGTGCTGTAACTCAATCTGACGCACCCACCGCTAGCCTAGCTTAGCACAAAGACTGGATGTAAATGGCTACAGCTAGCATAATCCCAATAAGAGGATGCAGTATCTTTTAACCGTAAAAACAGATATAATTTAATTGAATAAATATTGGGAACTATATTCTCAGAAGGAGAAGCACTGCTATGGTGCATTTCGGGTGCTGCGGTTATCACTCCGCCCAAGTAGCAGTGCTTCGCCTTCTGAGAATATAGATCCCAATATTTATACAGTTAAAAGATATGTGTCTCTTATTACCTTGTGATTTGTACACTCTGTGACTATACAAATCCAAACATGTAAATAGGAAAACTTTTGTGTTATTTTGTCACTTATTATGCTAGCTGTAGCCATTTACATCCAGTCTTTGTGCTAAGCTAGGCTAGCGGTGGGTGCGTCAGATAGAGTTACAGCACGCGCAGAGATGAAAAAGGTTTGTATGGACTTATCTAACTCTGGGGGATACAGTGAATAAGCCAAAGTCCCAAAAAGTCGGAGAGTTTTCCTTTAAGTACACACTTAAAATAAAAATGCCTGTGGTGAGCAGATTTGGTTACACTCTAAAATGAGACTTGAATTGTCACAGAAACCTCAAGGGTCTAGCAAGTATTGATTTCAGTTTTCACATCAGTAAATTAGCGTCTCATCTAATCTGTTAGCTCATCACTACAATTCATTGTTTCCATTTAGGGCGACAGCCATCCTGGCATACTTGCCCCAGGAGCTTTTAGGGACGTCGTTTTATGAGTATTTTCACCAGGATGATATCGGTCACCTCGCCGAGTGCCACAGACAAGGTTTCAGTTTTATTTACTTGATCCTCTCATTCATACCATTTGTAAAATGTTTTATTTTACTGTTATAATGCCTGTCAGTATCACATTTGTAATAAATGCTCACTTTTTTATTTCAGTGCTACAGATGAGAGAAAAGATTAATACTAACTGTTACAAGTTCAAGATTAAAGACGGATCATTCATCACTCTAAGGAGCCGCTGGTTCAGCTTCATGAACCCCTGGACCAAAGAAGTGGAATATATAGTCTCTACAAACACTGTGGTTTCGTAAGTGTCGCATCACATTTCACTTGGGAATGTTTTTCATTAAGAAGATGCTAGGCCAAAATGATTAAAACAGCTTATTCCTTGAATCAAGCTAAGGAAATGTGCTCACAGTTTACATTCTTTTTGATCTAATAAATTAGCCTTTCATAGACTATGAGCCTATTTACTTTCTTAATAAATCCCCCTGGTGTTACTGTACACAAATAACCAGTGCTTAGAAGTGATTCTAAAGTATATAAATGTTTATAATGCTTTTTAAAGAAAGTTTAAGTTACATTTAACAAAATATTCTGTTGACACAATGAAGAAAATATATTTTTTAAATATTTATTTATTTATTAAAAACTAAAAATACGAAAGAAAAAAAATATATAGTACTATTTTTGTAGAATTACTTATCATGATGATAACTATGTGTGTGAAGAGTTCAGATTCAAAAGCCTTTAAGTGTCAGCTGAAATTATTCTAGAATGATTATTTTTTATCAAGCTTGTATATTTTAAGTTCAGCAATTTCACTTAAATGACAATGAAAAGTACCTATTAATTGTCATTTGAGTGAAATTACATTTAATGTAATACATTTTTATTATTGAGAATAAAACAGAGTATTATTTAGTATATAGCATTATTTAATATACTGTGTGTGTGTCAAATTTTAGATATGTTAATGGAATTACTACTACTAATATGTATTGATATAATATTACATATATGAATTTTTGCAGTAATAACTTAATTTATAATTATTATTGTTTTTCCTAATAATAATGTAATTATTTAATATATTATTAATTGTGTGTACACATATAATCTGATATTATTTATTTATTAAATAGTACTAAATATATTTTGTTATTTTTTTATACAGAAATGTTACATTTCGAATGTAAATGGATTTCAAAATGTATTTCTTGTTGACTTTAATACAGAATAATATTGTTGCTTGTTTCAGGGGCGGCATGCTTGAAGGAGCAGATCCTAGTTATTCCCAGACAGCCTCGTCCCCTCAGAGCATGGACAGCGTTTTAACATCAGGAGACGGTGAGATCACTTCCCAGCTGTTGAACAGCAGTTTCTCTCGCACGCCTGTTTTTAACAATTGTGTGTATTTATGGCAGGTGGAGGGAAACGCTCTCTTCAGACGGTTCCTGGTATTCCGGGAGGGACAAGAGCGGGCGCTGGCAAGATAGGACGCATGATAGCTGAGGAAGTGATGGAGATTCAGAGGTACTTGCAGCATCTGGCACATTTAGGTTACACTGTCACAAAAATGATCTTGATTCTATAAAATGATGTCCTGCCCCCAGGATTCGAGGCTCCTCACCCTCCAGCTGTGGCTCAAGTCCTTTAAATATCACTGCCACTCCCCCACCAGACACCTGCTCTCCAGGGGGCAAGAAGGTGAGACACTTTGCTCGTAAATAGGTCCTTGACCACATAGTATGAAGACCAAGATACACTCATGGCGAAGGGGTAAAAAAAGAAAGCTGAGAGCCCCGGTTAGATGAGTATGTAAATATGTGAGAACACAGAAAGCATCTGATCATAGTGATGTGGATAGGAGAAATGAGCTGGTGAACATTTCCACGTCAAAGAAGGCGGAGTCTCAGAGCCACACCTTTACATAATCTCCAAAGGTTTTTATCAGCCAGAGTGAACTTTCCTGCAATGGTCGCTTTGGCAATCTGTTTCTTCGAATCGTAAACACTTCTTGTTTTTCTTGAACATTTATCTCTTACGTTGTAGATTCAAAATGGTGGAACTCCAGACCTGCCGTCAGCAGGAATTGTGCCTGGACCCGATTCGATAGGATACCCGTATTCAAATAATTCATTAATGAGTGAGTACACGAGTCAGTCTCGCTTCAATAAATCACATATAGCATTCTCATCAAGTGCACTAAACGAATCTCTCTGGCTGCAGGTGATAACTCACATCTTAGCATTGACATCATGGAAGAGCCCGGATCCAGCAGCCCCAGTAATGACGAGGCAGCCATGGCTGTTATCATGAGCCTCCTAGAAGCGGACGCTGGCCTTGGTGGACCTGTGGATTTCAGTGACCTACCCTGGCCTTTGTGAAACCACAGCAGACTCCGACCACAGGATGTTTGATGGGTCCAGGGCTAAACGCGTCTAAGCGCAGGTCACCACAGCAGAGGCTCATGGGACAGGAAGTGCACCACCGAGGTATGCAGAGGTTAAAGAAGCTGTGGTGTTTGAAACAGGACCTCATACTCAAAGCACACCAAATGGTTCAGCTGCATACTTCCTGCCGAATGAGGATCTGTGCATTTCCCATCTCACACGGTTTTATTCCCGACCTGCCTGTTCCTGTGTAGATATGGGCCCGGATTATTCCTGCGGTACTCATCAGCAAACATGGGTATCTTTCTATAAATATATATATAAATATATATACCATTTTGTTTGTGTTTTAATGTTTTTACACTACACAAAAGTTGTTGAATGTTAAATATTCTATATGCAGATTGTAACTAATATTGTAATTCTATTATGTAAGATTTCTTTATGCAAAATATATATGGTTAAAGTGTAACGTATCAGCAGTGGATATTTTTAAAATAAAAAAAATCTTGTCAGTGCTTTTATTTTTTTATTTCAGATGGGCACTTTACTACCTACTATTAATACTATGATTCATTTTTATCTTGATAAATAATAAATATACTGGCTGCCACAGACTAATGATGTCCTTTGGAAAAATGCTAGACATTTGTCCTCAAGCTCTTCTCATGCCTGCTTTGGCCAATGTCTCTTTCTCTGCCTTTTGATTGGTCCTTGGTATATTTTTGCTCTATGTTGCTATCCAGTGGTAAAATCTTTGAGGAAATGAGAGATGTTGTCAGGGGAAAGAGACTGTAGCTTGGCAGTTGAGTTCTGGATTATAAAATCAATTAGTGCAATTTTTAATTATTTTGTGGGTCAAATGAAAATTGTGTATGGTTTTGAGTATTCTAAATCAATTTAAAGCTCCATTCCGTAACTTTTTTTTGGGTGAAAAATTATCCAAAATAAATTTGAGCAAATGCATAACTAGCTGCTTGCTTTAGCTCGATTCAAAACTGTAAACTTGAGAAGAAACTATCATTTGCACGTTTTTATGTGGTATACGATAATTTATAATTAGATTTAATCGGTGTGATTTACTGCAATGCTTTTTTTCAGTGAGTTGGTCAGAAGAACAAAAGTGGATTAGTTATTTGTTCAGATGCCATTTTAGGGTGAAAATTCTTATGTTGGTCGTACTTCCAAAAAGCAGAATTGCGATTTTCAGAATTCATTGATTGCGAATGCCAGTATACACCGGCGTGGCGACTGAAAGCTGCACATTCTCCTCAAAACATTGGATTCATATCTCAGCTCTGGAAGGGTCTAGAGCCAACATTTTTGCACTCGGGTCTAAGTCTCATGGCCCTCTATCAGAATCCAGAGTTTCAAGAAGATCAGAGAAACTTTTTTTTTTTTGCACCGAAAAAGTCGACAGAGGATACCCCTGTCGTTTTTTTCGTGTCAAAATTTTGAGTTTCTCTGATCTTCTTGAAACTCTGGGTTCTAATAGAGGGCCATGAGACTTAGACCCGAGTGCCAAAATGGAGGCTCTAGACCCTTCCAGAGCTGAGATATTGAGATCCCACGTAGCATTTATGCCATTATAAATATCTCAATATCTCAGCTCTGGAAGGGTCTAGAGCCTCCATTTTGGCACTCAGATCTAAGTCCCATGGCTCGCTATCAGAATCCAGAGTTTCAAGAAGATTGGAAAAACTTATTTTTTCGTACAAAAAAAAAACGAAAGGGGTACCACTGTCGTATTTTTTTTTTTCGGGTCGAAATATTGAGTTGCTCTGATCTTCTTGAAACTCTGGATTCTGATAGAGGGCCATGGGACTTAGACCTGAGTGCCAAAATGGAGGCTCTAGACCCTTCCAGAGCTGAGATATTGAGATCCCACGTAGCATTTATGCCATTATAAATATCTCAATATCTCAGCTCTGGAAGGGTCTAGACTCTAGAGCCTCCATTTTGGCACTGAGGTCTAAGTCCCATGGCCCTCTATCAGATGGATGATGTGTTGTTTCCATAAACAAACTCTCTGTCACACACCAAGCATCTCACCATCTAAAAAATGTTTTATGAAAGTAATAAATTACTTACAAGAATAAAATAAGTAAAATGTTAAATTATATATATATATATATATATATATATATATATATATACATACATACATTGGAGGCTATAAGCTCAAAATGTTCCCAGATAGGGAAAGTCTTCCTTGTTTTGGCTGTTGCCATTGCTCTAAATAAACCCTTCACCAAACACCAACACTCTATCCCCTCTCTCCTAATCCCACCCTAAATCCAAATACCAACACCAAATTACCTTAAATCCACCAAAGTGCAAAGATTTTACAAAAACAAAATGACAAAATAAAGAATAGACTAAGTAGTGAAATTTTTTTTTTTGGTTATTTAAAACTTAATTTCTCGCCCCAAAAAAAACAAAAACGAAAGGGGTAACGCTGTCATTTTTTTGGGGGGGTTGAAATTTTGAATTTCCATATCTCAGCTCTGGAAGGGTCTAGAGCCTCCATTTTTGCACTCAGGTCAAAGTCTCGTGGCCCTCTATCATAATCCAGAGTTTTGAGAAGATTGGAGAAACTTAATTTTTCGCCCGAAAATGAAAAAAAAAAACAAAAGGGGTAACACTGTCGTTTTTTTTCTGGTCGAAATTTTTAATTTTGATATCTCAGCTCTGGAAGGGACTCGATCCTCCATTTTTGCACTCAGGTCAAAGTCTCACAGCCCTCTATCATAATCCAGAGTTTTGAGAAGATAGGAGAAACTTAATTTTTCGCCCGAAAACGAAAAAAAACGAAAGGGGTAACACTGTCGTTTTTTTTTTCGGGTCGAAATTTTAAATGTTGATATCTCAGCTCTGGAAGGGTCTAGAGCCTCCATTTTTGCACTCAGGTCCAAGTCTCACAGCCCTCTATCATAATCCAGAGTTTTGAGAAGATTGGAGAAACTTTATTTTTCGCCCGAAAACGAAAAAAAACGAAAGGGGTAACACTGTCGTTTTTTTTTTTTCGGGTCGAAATTTTGAATTTCGATATCTCAGCACTGGAAGGGTCTAGAGCCTCCATTTTTGCACTCAGGTCAAAGTCTCGTGGCCATCAATCAGAATCCAGAGTTTTGAGAAGATTGGAGAAACTTAATTTTTTGCCCGAAAAAAAAAACCGAAAGAGGTACCACTGTTTTTTTTTTTTGGGTCGAAATTTTGAGTTTCGATATCTCAGCTCTGGAAGAGTCTAGATCCTCCTTTTTTGCACTCAGGTCAAAGTCTCACAGCCCTCTATCAGAATTCAGAGTTTTGAGAAGATTGGAGAAACTTAATTTTTCACCCGAAAACGAAAAATTGAAAGGGGTAACACTGTCGTTTTTTTTTTTCGGGTCGAAATTTTGATATCTCAGCTCTGGAAGGGTCTAGATCCTCCATTTTTGCACTCAGGTCAAAGTCTTGTGGCCCTCTATCAGAATCCAGAGTTTTGAGAAGATTGGAGAAACTTAATTTTTCGCCCAAAAACGAAAGGGGTAACACTGTCGTTTTTTTTTTTCGGGTCGAAATTTTGAATTTCGATATCTCAGATATGGAAGGGTCTAGATCCTCCATTTTTGCACTCAGGTCAAAGTCTCACAGCACTCTATCAGAATCCAGAGTTTTGAGAAGATTAGAGAAACTTAATTTTTCGCCCGAAAAAAAAAAAAACGAAAGGGGTACCACTGTTGTTGTTTTTTTTTTGGGTCAAATTTTTGAGTTTCGATATCTCAGCTCTGGAAGGGTCTAGAGCCTCCATTTTTGCACTCAGGTCAAAGTCTCACAGCCCTCTATCATAATCCAGAGTTTTGAGAAGATTGGAGAAACTTAATTTTTCACCCGAAAAATGAAAAAAACGTAAGGGGTAACACTGTCGTTTTTTTTTCGGGTCGAAATTTTGAATTTTGATATCTCAGCTCTGGAAGGGTCTAGAGCCTCCATTTTTGCACTCAGGTCAAAGTCTCACAGCCCTCTATCATAATCCAGAGTTTTGAGAAGATTGGAGAAACTTAATTTTTCGCCCGAAAATGAAAAAAAACGAAAGGGGTAACACTGTCGTTTTTTTTTTTCGGTCGAAATTTTGAATTTTGATATCTCAGCTCTGGAAGGGTCTAGAGCCTCCATTTTTGCACTCAGGTCAAAGTCTCACAGCCCTCTATCATAATCCAGAGTTTTGAGAAGATTGGAGAAACTTAATTTTTCGCCCGAAATGAAAAAAAAACGTAAGGGGTAACACTGTCGTTTTTTTTTCGGGTCGAAATTTTGAATTTTGATATCTCAGCTCTGGAAGGGTCTAGAGCCTCCATTTTTGCACTCAGGTCAAAGTCTCACAGCCCTCTATCATAATCCAGAGTTTTGAGAAGATTGGAGAAACTTAATTTTTCGCCCAAAATGAAAAAAAACGTAAGGGGTAACACTGTCGTTTTTTTTGGGTCGAAATTTTGAATTTCGATATCTCAGCTCTGGAAGGGTCTAGAGCCTCCATTTTTGCACTCAGGTCAAAGTCTCACAGCCCTCTATCATAATCCAGAGTTTTGAGAAGATTGGAGAAACTTAATTTTTCGCCCAAAAATGAAAAAAAAACGTAAGGGGTAACACTGTCGTTTTTTTTTCGGGTCGAAATTTTGAATTTCGATATCTCAGCTCTGGAAGGGTCTAGAGCCTCCATTTTTGCACTCAGGTCAAAGTCTCACAGCCCTCTATCATAATCCAGAGTTTTGAGAAGATTGGAGAAACTTAATTTTTCGCCCAAAAATGAAAAAAAACGTAAGGGGTAACACTGTCGTTTTTTTTTCGGGTCGAAATTTTGAATTTGATATCTCAGCTCTGGAAGGGTCTAGAGCCTCCATTTTTGCACTCAGGTCAAAGTCTCACAGCCCTCTATCATAATCCAGAGTTTTGAGAGATTGGAGAAACTTAATTTTTCGCCCAAAAATGAAAAAAAAACGTAAGGGGTAACACTGTCGTTTTTTTTTGGGGTCGAAATTTTGAATTTTGATATCTCAGCTCTGGAAGGGTCTAGAGCCTCCATTTTTGCACTCAGGTCAAAGTCTCACAGCCCTCTATCATAATCCAGAGTTTTGAGAAGATTGGAGAAACTTAATTTTTCGCCCAAAAATGAAAAAAAACGTAAGGGGTAACACTGTCGTTTTTTTTTTTTTGGTCGAAATTTTGAATTTCGATATCTCAGCTCTGGAAGGGTCTAGAGCCTCCATTTTTGCACTCAGGTCAAAGTCTCACAGCCCTCTATCATAATCCAGAGTTTTGAGAAGATTGGAGAAACTTAATTTTTCGCCCAAAAATGAAAAAAAAACGTAAGGGGTAACACTGTCGTTTTTTTTTTGGGGTCGAAATTTTGAATTTCGATATCTCAGCTCTGGAAGGGTCTAGAGCCTCCATTTTTGCACTCAGGTCAAAGTCTCACAGCCCTCTATCATAATCCAGAGTTTTGAGAAGATTGGAGAAACTTAATTTTTCGCCCAAAAATGAAAAAAAACGTAAGGGGTAACACTGTCGTTTTTTTTTTTGGGTCGAAATTTTGAATTTCGATATCTCAGCTCTGGAAGGGTCTAGAGCCTCCATTTTTGCACTCAGGTCAAAGTCTCACAGCCCTCTATCATAATCCAGAGTTTTGAGAAGATTGGAGAAACTTAATTTTTCGCCCAAAAATGAAAAAAAAACGTAAGGGGTAACACTGTCGTTTTTTTTTCGGGTCGAAATTTTGAATTTTGATATCTCAGCTCTGGAAGGGTCTAGAGCCTCCATTTTTGCACTCAGGTCAAAGTCTCACAGCCCTCTATCATAATCCAGAGTTTTGAGAAGATTGGAGAAACTTAATTTTTCGCCCGAAAATGAAAAAAAACGTAAGGGGTAACACTGTCGTTTTTTTTTTCGGGTCGAAATTTTGAATTTCGATATCTCAGCTCTGGAAGGGTCTAGAGCCTCCATTTTTGCACTCAGGTCAAAGTCTCACAGCCCTCTATCATAATCCAGAGTTTTGAGAAGATTGGAGAAACTTAATTTTTCGCCCGAAAACGAAAAAAAACGTAAGGGGTACACTGTCGTTTTTTCGGGTCGAAATTTTGAATTTCGATATCTCAGCTCTGGAAGGGTCTAGAGCCTCCATTTTTGCACTCAGGTCAAAGTCTCACGGCCCTCTATCATAATCCAGAGTTTTGAGAAGATTGGAGAAACTTAATTTTTCGCCCAAAAATGAAAAAAACGTAAGGGGTAACACTGTCGTTTTTTTTTTGGGTCGAATTTTGAATTTCGATATCTCAGCTCTGGAAGGGTCTAGAGCCTCCATTTTTGCACTCAGGTCAAAGTCTCGTGGCCCTCTATCATAATCCAGAGTTTTGAGAAGATTGGAGAAACTTAATTTTTCGCCCAAAAAATGAAAAAAAACGTAAGGGGTAACACGTCGTTTTTTTTTTGGGGTCGAAAATTTTGAATTCGATATCTCAATCTCTGGAAGGGTCTAGAGCTCCATTTTTTGCACTCAGGTCAAAGTTCACAGCCCTCTATCATAATCCAGAGTTTTGAGAAGATTGGAGAAACTTAATTTTTCGCC